AGCACCCTGGAGGTGACTCCATGGCTCAGAAGCAGCATGAGCGGCATATTCCAGGGACAAGACCCTTGACAGCAGGCCTTCCACCTCAGGAGACCACCCTTCTAGACACTTGCCCAGAGGAAAGGGGTGAATTTCAGCCAAGGAGAGAACCTCAGAAATACGTGGACTGACCCCTCGACCTAAACCTAACGAGTCCATGGTCAGACTGCAGCAACACCAGGTACCAGCCTGAGCTCAGCCTTGACCCAAACCTAGGGAAATAGCTCCGTCCCCTCCAGGCTCAAAGAGGTGCCACGGGTTGGCATATTGCTCAACTGGCCCATCCCATTCAGGGCAATAAGTCATGTGCGATCCTCGAATATCTGCAGCTCAACTCCATGGGCCCTAGCCCACCTTTCTCCACAGATGGAGAGCTCCTGTGTGACCCCATGGCATCCCAGAGGCCCTGTGGACACCCTCATGTGGCCTACACAGTCCTCGAGGTCACAGCAGCACAGGAAGACTCAGCTGGGAGCTGACCTGTGTGAGACTGAAGGAACCCTCTCTTGCCTGGATGACTGTCATCCCCACAGGACTCCAGGGAAGGCGTACTCCTTGGGTTCGATTCCTCAGGAAGCCACTTTCCTAGAGAATCAAGCCTTCCATCCCTGGTAGGTATTCAAGTCTGCTCCCTAAGGAAACCCTCCTGTCCTGAAGGCTGACCCTCAGCGACTCCACGTGGCCTGACCCATGGCCCATAACACCAGCAGGATCCACTGACCTATGCCGCTCAATGCCCGGGTGCCCTGCCTGGGTGGAGGAGCTCACTGTAAGACAAAAATGGAGAAGGGGGGCTCAGGGAGGAGTTGCCCTCATGCCCCACCCCAGGAAACTGGACCACCAACAGCAAGCCCAAACAGGGAGCCTGGGCTGCCTCACGGAGGAGTGCAGAGACAGGGTTGGGCCCCCAGATGTCCTTCAGGCCCTCCAGGTCTCCAGCCCAAAATACAGGGGCCCTGATGAGGACTTTGGGATTCCAGCATCTTCTTCCAAAATTCTCACCTAGGCTGGGCTTCAGGGTAATCTTATTGAGCATCATTTTTAAGTCATCACCCCTCTTCAGGACAATACAAGGTTCTCATCATCGACCCAACCCAGGACACCCTCCTTCCTGCACAGGCATCCGGTGGGACCCGGTTGTAGTCACCACAGGTCAGTGCAGGAGACCAGGTCACTAGGAAGGTCCCAAGCTTCAGCACACCAGGGGCCGGGCACCTGGCTTTGGGACACTGGCTCGAAGACATTGAGCCCAACACAAGTCTTCCTCTGGGCTCACCACCTGGAGGGACAGGAGGAGGATATGTGTCCAAACGGGGCCTCATGCCTCCATGCGGCAAAGGGGTGAGGGTTACTCACGTGATGCGATCCACACAGAACACAGACCTATCATGGAAGTGGGGCACTCTTGGCAAACCACACTTGAAATCGAAGCCTGGAGTCCCAGGGCCACAGGCTTTCTCTGGCGAGTCCCCATCCATGTCCCGCACAGGTCCCCAAAACAGAGTCAGGCCACCTTCGGCCAACCCTGGGCCACATGGTATCCTCTCTTTCCTTAGACCCAAGATCCTGCCACCCTGGAGGTGACCCCATGGCTCAGAAGAGGCCTGGGTGGCAAATTCCTAGGACAGGACCATCGACAGCGGGTCTTCCTACCTCAGGATCCACTCTTCCAGCCACTCACCGACATGCAAAGGGTGACTTCCAGGAGGATGTGGGCTGCTGACTTAGACCAAAGCCCACAAGTTCAAGGGCCGGCCTACAGCATCGCCAGGCAGTGGACAGAGCTCAGTCTTGACCCAAACCCAGGGAAACAGCACCACCCCCCACCAAGTTCAAAGAGGCGCCATTGAGATGGCCCATTACTCAACACAGTCGGTTGCATTTAGGGCCATGGTTGGGATGCAGTCCTCGAATCTCTACAGCCTGACCCCACGGGCCCATTCGAGCACCTCTCCAGGGAAAGAGAGCTCTCGTGTGACCCCTGGGGCACCCCAGAGCCCCTGTGGCCCCCCTCATGTGGCCTGGGCCAGACCCGCACACAAAGTCTCAGCTGGGAGCTGCCCTGCATGGGACTGAGGGGACTCTTTCCTGCCTGGACCACAGTCACCCCTGTGAGGCATCAGGGAAGGCATTGTCTTGGGTCTGATTCCCAAGTAAGCCAGTCTCTTGCAGAAACCATCTCTCCCCAGTGGGGATTCATGTCGGCTCCCTGAGGAAACTCTTCTTTCCCAAGGGCTGACCCTCAGTGACACCATGTGGCCTGGCTCATGGCCCACGATGCCAGCAGAATGCACTCACCTATGCGCGTCAATGTCAGCGGGCCCACCTGGGCTGAAGAGCTCACTGAAATACAGAAGACACAAGAGGAGAACAGGGGCTCAGGAAGGACCCAGCAAGGTGCCCTACCCCGGGGAACCAGAGAGCCAACACCAAGCTCACAGAGGGAGGCTGGGCTGCCTCACGTAGAAATGCAGAGACAGGGTAGAGCTCCCCCAAGATGCTGTTCAGGGCCTGGATTTCTCCAGTCCAAAATACAGTGCCCTGACAGGGACCTAGAAATCCCAGCATCCTCTTCCAAAATTCTCCCCTAGGCTGGGCCTCAGCGTAATCCTATTGAGCATGATTTTTAAGTCATCACCTCTCTTCAGAACCATATAAGGTTCTCATCATTGACCCAACCCAGGGCACCAACCCCTCAACCCATGCATGCAACCACTGGGACCCAGATGGGCTCACCAGAGCTCTGTGCAGGAGACCAGGGCACCAGGAAGGGCCAGAGCTTCAGCTTTTCAGTGGCTGAGCACCCGATTGAGGGACACTGTGTCAGGGCCAGCAGGCCCAGTGCAATTCTTCCTCCAGGGTCACCATCTGGAGGGGTGAGGGACAGGTGTCCAAACAGGGCTTCACGTCTCCATAGGGGAAAGGGGGCAGAGGGTGCTAGCTCACACATGCTCTCCCTCCATGGACTCATGAGATGAGATCCATGTAAAACAGTGACGGTCATGCATGTGAGGAACCCTTGGCCCTCCCTGCCACTGAACCCTGAAAGAACAGGGCAGATGGATCATGGGATTCCAGCAAGACGCCTAGGCTGCACCCTATTGTAGGACCCTGGAGCACCTCCACTACCCACACCAGCTCCCCCACACAACTCTGGGCTTCAATGGGACCACTGGGTAGGGCCAGGGCCACCAACCAGCTCACGGCAAACCAAGAAGGCTGGCCTGGACGCCATGCGCCACTGCAGACCTGGCGGTCACATAGCCTGCCCCTGGGCATGGAATGCACACATTCACGCACCCTCCATAAGCTCACACCAGAAATACCATCCTGGGGCCCCAGGGCCACGTGCCTTCTCTGGTGGGTCCCCATTCATGCACCTCACACCTCCCAAACACAGAGCTGGGCCACGCTTTGCCAATCAGGGGCCACATAATGTCCTCTCCTTTCCTTTGGCTCAAGACCCTATCACGCTGGAGGTGACCCCATGACTCAGAAGCAGCCTTGGCAGCAAATTGCTGGGACAGGACCCTTCACAGTGGCCCTTCCACCACAGAATGCCACCCTTCTGGCCACTCCACAATGGGGAGGGGTGAACTCCAGTGGGACCCGGGCTGCACCCTTGGCCCCAACCCGATTCCCAAGGCCAACCATGAAGTGACAGCCAGAGCTCAGCCTTGACCCAACCCCCCGAGGCTGCGCCACCCCCACCAGGCTCAAGGTGCCACCACCGAATGGCCCATTGCTCCATTGCTAAACAGGGTCAGTCCCATTCAGGGCCATAGGTTATTCCTGACCCTTGAATGTTCAGGGTCTGACTCCGTAAGCCGGATCAGCCACACACTGTCCCCTTCAAGCCTCAGGGACAAAGAGCTCCCATATAAGACTCCTAGCTCCGGAGACCCTGGGAATGCCCTCATGTGGCCTGGGCAGTCCTCCAGGACTGACCTGTGCACCAAGTCTCAGCTAGGATCTGCACTGCATTGGGTTGAAGGAACCCTCTCCTGCCTGAACCTCTGTTACTTCCGCAGGGTTTCGGGGATGGCGTCCTTCTTGGGACCGATTTCCAAGGAAATCTCCCAACTGGAGAAACCATCCATCCCTGGTGGGGATTCAGGTCAGCTCCTTGAGGAAACCCTCATGACCTGAAGCGTGACACTCAGGGACCCCACCTCGGCCTGGCTCATGGCCCATGACCCCAGTAGGATCCATTCACCTGAGGCCCCGCCAGCATGGAGGTGACCCCATAGCTCAGAAGCAGCCTGGACAGCAAATTTCTGAGACAGGAACTTCCACAGCAGGCCTTCCCACCTCAGGAGGACACTCTTCCTGCCACTCGCCCACAAGGAAGGGGTGACCCAGTTGGGACATGGGTCATCCCCTTGTCCCTAAGCCCACCAATCCCAGGGCAGGACTGCACCACCATCAGATCGGGTCAGAGCTAGTCTCGACTCACTCTGAGGAAACAGTGCTGACCCGCACTTGGCTCACGGAGGCACCACTGGGATGGCCGATTGCTTAATACGGTCAGTTCCATTCAGGGCCATGGGTTTGGTGTGATCCTTGAAAATCCACAGCCTAACCCCCTGGGCCGAATCACACACACCTCTCCAAGCTCAGAGAGCCTCTACATGAACCTCTTGGTGCCCAAGAGCCCATGTGTCCCTCTTCATGTGGCCTGGCCATCCTAGAGGCCAGACCTGAGGACCGAGTCTCAGCGGGACACTGCCCTGCATGAGGGGGAGGAAACCCTTTAATGCCTGGACCACCACAACCCCTGCAGGGCTTCAGGGAATGTATCTTCCTTGGGTCTGATTCCTAAGGAAGCTGCCCTCCTAGAGAACCAATCCCAGGTGGGCATTCAGGAAGGCTCCCAAGGAAACCCTTGCAGCTGAAGACTGATGCTCGGAAACCCCACACAGCCTGACTCATGGGCCATGACCCCAGCAGGATCCACTCACCTATGTCGGTCAATGCAAGGGGGTCTGCTGGGCAGAAGAGCTCACTGAAAGACATAGGGGAAAATGGGGGCTCAGGAAGGAGCCACCAAAGTGCCCCACCCCTAGGTAACAGCAGTGCTGACACCAAGCCCACATAGTGAGCCTGGGCTGCCTCATGGAGGAGTGCAGAGACAGGGTTGGGTACCCTCCAGATGCCCTCAGAGCCTCCAGGTCTCCAGCCCAAATTACAGTGGATCTCACAGGGAACTCATAATTCCCAGCATCCTCTTCCAACATTCTCACCCTGGCTGGGCCTCAGCGTAATCCTATTGAGCATGATTTTTATGTCATCACCTCTTTTCAGACAATATAAGGTTCTCATCATCGACCCAACCCAGGGCACCCCCTCCCCATCAATGCATCCAGTGGGACCCGGATGTGCTCACCATAGCTCAATGCAGGAGACGAGGGCATCAGGAAGGGCACTGGGGCTGGGCACCTTACTGACAGACGTTGGCCCAGGGCCATTGGGGCCAATACAAGTCTTCCTGAAGGTTCAACATCTGGGGAAACAGGAGTAAGACAGGTGTCCAAACACAACCTCATCCCTCCATGGAGGCAGAAGGTGGGGTGTGGCGGCTCAGGGATGCTCACCCTCCATGGACCTATGTAGTGGGATCCATGTAGAACACTGGCCCGTCGCAGACGCAGGGCACCCTGTGCTCTCTCAGCCACCAATCCTTGAAAGGACAGGGCAGGCGGGTCACTGGGGTCGGGCAAGAAGCCCCAGCTGTGCCCTACTGCAGAGCCCATGAGCATCTCCACTGCCCATGCCGGCTCCACCGCATGACCCCAGCATCATGCCAGGTCTACTGGGCACTGACCAGGGCCACAAAACAGTTCATCACCAACCAAGGAGGCTGGCCCAGATGCCAGATGCCACTGCAAAGCTGGCAGTCACATATCCCGCACCTGTGCACTGTGGGAACCCACCCACATGCCCTATCACAGCACGTACTAGAGACCTGTACATGCCTGGGGTCCCAGGGCCACATGCTTTCTCTGGTGGGTCCCCATTCATGCCCCACACACCTCCTAACACAGAGCAGGGCCACACTTGGGTATTCGGGGGATACATGGTGACTTCTTTCCTTGGGCACAAGACTCAGCACCCTGGAAGTGACTCCATGGCTCAGAAGCAGCATGAGCGGCATATTCCAGGGACAAGACCCTTGACAGCAGGCCTTCCACCTCCGGAGGCCACCCTTCCAGACACTTGCCCAGAGGAAAGGGCTGAATTTCAGCAAAGGAGAGAACCTCAGCAATACGTGGGCTGACCCCTTGACCTAAACCTAACGAGTCCATGGTCAGAATGCAGCAACACCAGGTGCCAGCCTGAGCTCAGCCTTGACCCAAAACTAGGGAAATAGCTCTGCCCCCTCCAGGCTCAAAGAGGTGCCACGGGTTGGCATATTGCTCAACTGGCCCATCCCATTCAGGGCAATAAGTCATGTGCGATCCTCAAATATCTGCAGCTCAACTCCATGGGCCCTAGCTCACCTTTCTCCACAGATGGAGAGCTCTTGTGTGACCCCATGGCATTCAGGAGGCCCTGTGGACCCCCTCATGTGGCCTACACAGTCCTCGAGGTCACAGCAGCACATGAAGACTCAGCTGGGAGCTGCCCTGTGTGAGACTGAAGGAACCCTCTCCTGCCTGGATGACTGTCATCCCCACAGGACTCCAGGGAAGGCGTACTCCTTGGTTTCGATTCCTCAGGAAGCCACTTTCCTAGAGGATCAACCCTTCCATCCCTGGTGGGTATTCAAGTCTGCTCCCTAAGGAAACCCTCCTGTCCTGAAGGCTGACCCTCAGCGACTCCACGTGGCCTGACCCATGGCCCATAACACCAGCAGGATCCACTGACCTATGCCGCTCAATGCCAGGGTGCCCTGCCTGGGTGGAAGAGCTCACTGTAAGACAAAAACGGAGAAGGGGGGCTCAGGGAGGAGTTGCTCTCATGCCCCACCCCAGGAAACTGGACCACCAACAGCAAGCCCAAACAGGGAGCCTGGGCTGCCTCACGGAGGAGTGCAGAGACAGGGTTGGGCCCCCCAGATGTCCTTCAGGCCCTCCAGGTCTCCAGCCCAAAATATAGGGGCCCTGATGAGGACTTCGGGATTCCAGCATCTTCTTCCAAAATTCTCACCTAGGCTGGGCTTCAGGGTAATCTTATTGAGCATCATTTTTAAGTCATCACCCCTCTTCAGGACAATACAAGGTTCTCATCATCGACCCAACCCAGGACACCCTCCTTCCTGCACAGGCATCCGGTGGGACCCGGTTGTAGTCACCACAGGTCAGTGCAGGAGACCAGGTCACTAGGAAGGTCCCAAGCTTCAGCACACCAGGGGCCGGGCACCTGGCTTTGGGACACTGGCTCGAAGACATTGAGCCCAACACAAGTCTTCCTCTGGGCTCACCACCTGGAGGGACAGGAGGAGGACATGTGTCCAAACGGGGCCTCATGCCTCCATGCGGCAAAGGGGTGAGGGTTACTCACGTGATGCGATCCACACAGAACACAGACCTATCATGGAAGTGGGGCACTCTTGGCAAACCACACTTGAAATCGAAGCCTGGAGTCCCAGGGCCACAGGCTTTCTCTGGCGAGTCCCCATCCATGTCCCGCACAGGTCCCCAAAACAGAGTCAGGCCACCTTCGGCCAACCCTGGGCCGCATGGTATCCTCTCTTTCCTTAGACCCAAGATCCTGCCACCCTGGAGGTGACCCCATGGCTCAGAAGAGGCCTGGGTGGCAAATTCCCAGGACAGGACCATCGACAGCGGGACTTCCTACCTTAGGATCCACTCTTCCAGCCACTCACCGACATGCAAAGGGTGACCTCCAGGAGGATGTGGGCTGCCGACTTAGACCAAAGCCCACAAGTTCAAGGGCCAGCCTGCAGCATCACCAAGCAGTGGACAGAGCTCAGTCTTGACCCAAACCCAGGGAAACAGCACCACCCCCCACCAAGTTCAAAGAGGCGCCATTGAGATGGCCCATTACTCAACACAGTCGGTTGCATTTAGGGCCATGGTTGGGATGCAGTCCTCGAATCTCTGCAGCCTGACCCCACGGGCCCATTCGAGCACCTCTCCAGGGAAAGAGAGCTCTCGTGTGACCCCTGTGGCACCCCAGAGCCCCTGTGGCCCCCCTCATGTGGCCTGGGCCAGACTCGCACACAAAGTCTCAGCTGGGAGCTGCCCTGCATGGGACTGAGGGGACTCTTTCCTGCCTGGACCACAGTCACCCCTGTGAGGCATCAGGGAAGGCATTGTCTTGGGTCTGATTCCCAAGTAAGCCAGTCTCTTGCAGAAACCATCTCTCCCCAGTGGGGATTCAGTCAGCTCCCTGAGGAAACTCTTCTTTCCCAAGGGCTGACCCTCAGTGACACCATGTGGCCTGGCTCATGGCCCACAATGCCAGCAGAATGCACTCACCTATGTGCATCAATGTCAGCGGGCCCACCTGGGCTGAAGAGCTCACTGAAATACAGAAGACACAAGAGGAGAACAGGGGCTCAGGAAGGACCCAGCAAGGTGCCCTACCCCGGGGAACCGGAGAGCCAACACCAAGCCCACAGAGGGAGCCTGGGCTGCCTCATGTAGAAATGCAGAGACAGGGTAGAGCTCCCCCAAGATGCTGTTCAGGGCCTGGATTTCTGCAGTCCAAAATACAGAGCCCCTGACAGGGACCTAGAAATCCCAGCATCCTCTTCCAAAATTCTCACCTAGGCTGGGCCTCAGCGTAATCCTATTGAGCATGATTTTTAAGTCATCACCTCTCTTCAGAACCATATAAGGTTCTCATCATTGACCCAACCCAGGGCACCACTCCCCCCAACCCATGCATGCATCCACTGGGACCCAGATGTGCTCACCACAGGTTTGTGCAGGAGACCAGGGCACCAGGAAGGGCCTGAGCTTCAGTTCACCAGGGGCCGAGCACCTGGCTGAGGGACACTGTCCCAGGGCCAGTGGGCCTCATGCAATTCTTCCTCCAGGGTTACCATCTGGAGGGGTGGGGGACAGTTGTCCAAACACGGCCTCACGCCTCCATGCAGGAAAGTGGGCAGGGCATGCTGGCTCACAGATGGTCTCCCTCCCTGGACTCAATACATGGGATTCATGTAAAACAGTGACGGTTATGCCTGCAAGGAAACCTTGGCCCTCCCTGCCCCTGATCCCTGGAAGGAAAGGGTAGGCAGGTCATGGGATTCCAGCAAGACGCCCAGGCTGCACCCTACTGTAGGATCCTGGAGCACCTCCACTGCCCACACCAGCTCCCCCACATGACCTGGCCACACTTGGACCACTGGGCAAGGCCAGGGCCACCAACCAGCTCATGGCAAACCAAGGAGGCTGGACTGGATGCCATGTGCAGCTGCAGAACTGGCAGGCACATAGCCTGCCCCTGGATGTGGAAGGCACCTGTCCAGGCACCCTCTATAAGCCTACACCAGAAATCGCATCCTGGAGTCCCATGGCCACGTGCCTTCTCTGGTGGGTCCCCATTCATGTACCACGTACCTCCCAAGCACAGAGCCAGGCCACACTCGGCCAATCAAGGGGCACATGGTATCTTCTCCTTTCCTTTGGCTCAAGACTCCACCACCCTGTAGGTGACCCCATGTCTCAGAAGCAGCCTGGGCAGCAAATTGCTAGCACAGCTCTCTTGACAGTGGACCTTCCACCACAGGATGCCACCCTTCCAGCCACTCCACTTTGGGGAGGGGTGACCTCCAATGGGACGCAGGCTGCACCCTTGGCCCACGATTCCCAGGGCCAACCACCAGGTGCCGGCCAGAGCTCACCCTTGACCCAACCCTAGTGAGGCCGCACCACCCCCACCAGCCTCAAGGAGGCACCAGTGGGATGGCCCATTGCTCAACAGGGTCTGCCCCATTCTGGGCCCAGAGTATGGCTCAACCCTTGAGTCTTCACGGCCTGACTCTGTAAGCCCGATCACCCACACCCAACCCCCTGCAAGCCTCGGGGAGAAAGAGCTCCTGTATAAGACTCCTGGCCCCAGAGACCCTGTGGATGCCCTCATGTGACCTGGGCAGTCCTCCAGACCTGACCTGTGCACCAAGTCTCAGCTGAGATCTGCACTGCATTGGGTTGAAGGAACCCTCTCCTGCCTGAACCTCTGTTACTCCTGCAGGGTTTCAGGGAAGGCATCTTTCTTGGGATCGATTTCCAAGGAAGCCACCCTCCTGGAGAAACTATCTGTCCCTGGTGGGGATATAGGTCGGCTCCCTGAGGAAACCTTCGTGGCCTGAAGGGTGACCCTCAGTGGACCCCCATGGCCTGGCTCATGGGCCATGACCCCAGCAGGATCCACTCACCTATGCCGCTCAAGGCCAGGGGCTCACCTGGGCAGAAGAGTTCACTGAAAGACACAGGGGAGAACGGGGGCTCAGGGAGGAGCCACCAACCTGCCCCAGCCCATGGGAGCCAGAGTGCCAACACCAAGCCCGCATGAGGAGCCTGGGCTGCCACACAGAGGAGCACAGAGACAGGGTTGGGCACCCCTAAGGTGCTCTTCAGGGCCTCAAGGACTCCAGCCCGAAATACAGTGGCCCTGCCAGGGGACCTTGGGATCCCAGCATCCTCTTCCAAAATTCTCACCTAGGCTGGGCCTCAGCGTAATCCTGTTGAGCATGATTTTTAAGTCATCACCTCTCTTCAGGACAATATAAGGTTCTCATCATTGACCCAACTCAGGGCACCACCTCCCCACACATGCATCCAGTGGGACCCGGATGTGCTCACCACAGCTCAGTGCAGGAGACCAGAGCGACAGGAAAGGTCTGAGCTTCAGCGCTCCAGGGGCTGGGCACCTGACTGACGACCACTCGCCCTGCGACAGCGGGCCCAACGAAAGTTTTCCTCTGGTCTCACCATCTAGGGGACAGGAGGTGGACCTGTGTCCAAATGGAACCTCACGCCTACAAGCGGGAAGGGAGTGGGGGATGCCAGCTCACGACTGCTGTCCCACCACGGACCCATGTGATGGGATCCATGTGAAACACCGATGTGTCATGGATGCAGGGGAACCTTGGCCCTCCCCACGACTGAACCCTGGAAGGACAGGGCAGGTGGGTCACTGGACTCAGGCAAGACGCCCTAGCTACGCCCTATTGCAGGCACATTGAGCACCTCCACTGCCCACGCTAGCTGCCTCTCACAATTCCAGGGCTGTATTGGCCCCTGGGGTGCAGGCCAGGGCCACCTAGCCTCTCACATGCAACCAAGGAGGTTGGCCCGGATGCCATGAACTGCCGATCTGGCAGTTGCATAGTCTGCCCGTGTGTGTGGAGGGTGAGAACCCAGGCCCCGCTCCACACCACACCGGAAATCACAGCCTGGGGCCCCAGGGACTCGTGTGTTCTCTGGTGAGTCCCCATCCATGGCCACACAACACCTCCCACACACAGAGCGGGGCCACACTCAGTCAATCAGGGGACACCTGGTATCTTCTCCTTTACTTGGACCCAAGATCCCACCCCCCTAGAGGTGACCCCATGGCTCCGATGCAGCCTGGACCACAAATTTCCAGGACAGGTCCTTCCACAGCAGGTCTCCCCACCTCAGGAGGACAGCCTTCCTGTCACTGCCGACAAAGAAGGGGTGACCCCCAGTGGGACATGCACTGTACCCTTGGCCCAAAGCCACCAATTCCAGGCCGGAATGCAGCACCCTCAGGTGCCAGCTAGAGCTAGTCTTGACACACCCTTAGGGAAACAGCCCTACACTTGGCTCAAAGAGGCACCACTGGGATGGCCCATAGCTTAATAGGGTCAGTCCCACTCAGGGCTATAGGTTTGGAGAGATCCTTGCAAATCCGAAGCCCAACCCCATGGGCAGAATCGCACACACCTCTCCAAGGTCAGAGGGCCCCTGCAAGACCCCCTTGGCACCCCAGAGCCCTTGTGGCCACCTGCATGTGGCCTGGTTGTCCTAGAGGCCTGACCTGAGCCTGAGTCTTAGCGGGGCACTGCCCCGCATGGGGCTGAGGGAACCCTTTACTGTCTGGACCACTGTAACCCCTGCAGGGCTTCAGGGAAGGTATCCTCCTTGGGTCTGATTCCCAAGGAAGCTGCCCGTCTGGAGAACCCATTCCAAGTGGGTATTCAGGACAGCTCCTGAGAAAATTCTTGCGGCTGAAGGCTGACGCTCAGCAACCCCACACAGCCTGGCTTATGGGCCATGACCCCAGCAGGATCCACTCACCGATGCTGGTCAATGCCAGGGGGTCTGCTAGGCAGAAGAGCTCACTGAAAGACACAGGGGAGAATGGGGGCTCAGGAAGGAGCCACCAAAGTACCCTGCCCCCAGGTAAGGGGAGGGCCGACACCAAGCCCACATAGTGAGCCTGGCTGCCTCACGGAGGAGCGCAGAGACAGGGTTGGGCACTCTCTAGATGACCTCAGAGCCTCCAGGTCTCCAGCCCAAAATACAGTGCTCCTGCCGGGGAACTTGTAATTCCCAGAATCCTCCAAAATTCTCACCCAGGCTGGGCCTCAGCGTAATCCTATTGAGCATGATTTTTAAGTCATCACCTCTCTTCAGACAATATAAGGTTCTCATCATCGACCCAACCCAGGGCACCCCCTCCCAACACATGCATCCAGTGGGACCCTAATGTGCTCACCAAGTTCAATGCAGGAGACCAGGGCCCAGTAGGGCGCAAGCTTCAGCTCACCAGGGGCTGGGCACCTGGCTGATGGCCACTGGCCTGGGGCTAGCAGGCGCAATGCAAGTCTTCCTCTCTGGTCACCATCTGGAGGGACAGGGGACAGGTATCCAAACAGGGCCTCATGCCTCCATGCGGGAAAGCAGGGAGTGGGGGCTGGCTCACACATGTTCTCCCTCCACGGACCCATGTGATGGCATCCATATGAGATAATGATGGTCATGGACCCAGGGAACCCTTGGTCCTCTCCACCACTGAACCCTTGAAGGACAAGGTAGGCAGGTCACGGGGCTTGGGTAAGATGCCCAGGCTGTGCTGTACAGCAGGCCCCTGGAGCACCTTCACCGCTCACAGTGGCTCCACTGCACGACTCTAGACCACAACAGAAACCTAGGGCAGGGACCAAGGCCGCCAACCAGCTCACAGCCAACCAAGGAGGCTGGCCCGGAAGCCAGGCGCTGCTGCCAACCTGGCAGTCCCACAGCCTGCCCCTGTGTGCGGAGAATGCCTGCCCAGGATCCTTCTCCAAGCGCACACCAGAAATCGTAGCCTGGGTCCAGGGCCATGTGCTTTGTCTGCTGGGTCCTCATCCACACCCCAGACACCTGCCAAACACAGAGCTGGGCCACACTCAGCCAATCAGGAGCCACGTGGTACCCTCTCCTTTCCTTGGACCCAAGACCCCGCCACCCTGGAAGTGACCCCATGGCTCAGAAGCAGCCTGGGCCACAAATTCCTGGGACAGGTCCCTCATGAGGGTGCCTTCCAACCTCGGGATGCGACCCTTCCAGTCACTTACCTCGAAGAAGGGGTGACCCCCAGCAGCAGGCGGGCTGCACCCTTGACCCAAAGCCCATGAGTCCCAGGGCCAGCCTGCAGCACCACAAAGCACCAGCCATGGCTCAGCCTTGACTCAACCAGTTGAAGCTGAACCACCACCCACCAGGCTCAAGAAGGAGCTACTGGCGTGGCCCATTGCTCAACACGGTCATTCACATTCAGGGCCATGAGTGGGGCACGATCCTTGAATCTCCACAGCCCCATCCCATGGGCCCGATCGCCCACCCATTTCCAGGGACGGCGAGCCCCCGAGTGATCCCCGTGGCACCCCAGAGCCTCTGCTGTCCCGCTCATTTGTCCTGGGCAGCCCTCGAGGACAAACTCGCAAACCGAGTGTCAGCTTGGAGCTGCCCTGCATGAGACTGAAGGAACCCTTTCCAGACTGGACCACTGTCACCCCTGCAGGGCTTCAGGGAAGGCATGGTATTGGGTCTGATTCCCCAGAAAGCTGCTTTCCTAGAGGACAAACCCATCTCTCCACAGGTGGGGATTAAGGTCCCTGAGGAAAACCTCCTGCCTGAAGGCTAATACTTGGTGACTCCATGCAGCCTGGCACATGGCCCACGACCCCAGCAGGATCCACTCACCTATGCTGGTCAATGCCAGGGTGCCCGCCTGGGTGGAAGAACTCACTAAAAGACACAGGGGAGAATGGCGGTCAGGGAGGAGCCGCCCACGTGCGTCGCTCCTGGGGAACAGGAGGGCTATCACCAAGCCCACACAGGGAGCCAGGACTGCCTCATGGAGGAGCACAGAGACAGGGTTGGGCCCCCCAGATGCCCTTCAGGGCTTCCAGGTCTCCAGCCCAAAATACAATGGCTCTTCCAGGGAACCTCGGGATCCCAGTGTCCTCTTCCAAAACCCTCACCTAGACTGGGCCTCAGCGTAATCCTATTGAGCATGATTTTTAAGTCATCACCTCTCTTCAGGACAATATAAGGTTCTCATCATCGACCCAACTCAGGGCACCACCTCCCAGTGCATGCATCCAGCAGGACCCGGATGTGCTCACCACAGCTCAGTGCAGGACACCAGGGTGCCAGGAAGTGTTGAATGTTCAGTGCACCAGGGGCTGGACACCTAGCTGATGGACAATGGCCTGGGGCCATTGGGCCCAATTCAAGTCTTCCTCCAGCCTCAACATCTGGGGAAACAGGAGTAGGACAGGCATCCAAACACAACCTCACGCCTCCATGGGGGCAGAAGGTGGGGTGTGGCGGCTCAGGGATGCTCACCCTCCATGGACCCATGTGATGGGATCCATGCAGACCACTGGCTCGTCTCGGACACAGGGCACCCAATGCTCTCTCAACACTGAACCCTGGAAAGACAGGGCAGGCGGGTCACTGGGCTTGGGCAAGAAGATCCGGTTGTGTCCTACTACAGGTCCCATGAGCACCTCCACTGCCCATGCCAGCTTCCCTGCACGACCCCAGGATCATGCCAGAACTACTGGGCACAGACTAGGGCCATCAACCAGCTCACAGCCAACCAAGGAGGCTGGCCCAGATGCCAGGTGCCACTGCAAAGCTGGCAGTCACATAGCCTGCCCCTGTGCATTGTGGGCACCCACCCAGGCACCCTATCCCAGCATGAAATGGAAATCGCAACCTGGGGTCCCAGGGCCACATACTTTCTCTGGTGGGTCCCCATCCATGCCCCACGCACCTCCTAAACACAGAGCAGGGCCACACTCAGCTAATCGGGGGACACATGGTGACTTCCCCTTTCCTTGGGTCCATGACCCGCTAAACTGGAGGTGACCCCGTGGCTCAGAAGCAGCATGGGCAGCATATTCCAGGGGTAAGACCCTTGACAGCAGGCCTTCCACCTCAGGAGGCCACCCTTCCTGACTCTTGCCAACAGGGAAGGGGTCATTTCCAGCCACAGGGAAGGGGAGATCCCCAGCAGGACGTGGACTGACCCTTTGGCCTAAAGCTGAGTCCATGGCTGAACTGTAGCACCACCAGGCACTGGTGAGCGCTCAGCCTTGACCCAAACCTAGGGAAATACCACCGCCCCCTCCAGGCCCAAACAGGTTCCATGGGATGGCACACAGATCAACAGGGTCAGTCCCATTCAGGGCAATAAGTCCTGTGCGATCCTTAAATCTCTGCAGCTCAACTCCATGGGCCCTATGCCCACCTTTCTCCAGGGATGGGGAGCTCCTGTATGACCCCATGGTGTCCCGAAGCCCCTGTGGCCTCCCTCATGTGGCCTGGTCAGTCCTCAAGGCCAGACCAGTGCACCGAGACTCAGCTGGGAGCTGCCCTGCTTGAGACTGAAGGAACCCTTTCCTGCCTGGACCATCGTCATCCCCGCAGGGCTGCAGGGAAGGCATCCTACTTGGGTCCGATTCCCAAAAAATCAGCCCTCCTGGAGGACCAATCCACCCTTCCCTGGTGCGGATTCAGGTTGGTTGCCTGTGGAAACCTTCCTGTTTCAAAAGCTGACCCTCGGTGACCCCACGCTGCCTGACTGATAACCCACGACCCCAGCAGGACCACTCAGCTATGCTGGTCAGTGCCTGGGGGCTGCACCTGGGTGGAAGAGCTCACTGAAAGACACAAGGGAGAATGGGGGCTGCCAGAACCGGAGCACCGACACCAAGCCCACACGGGGAGCCTGGGCTGCCTCACAGAGGAGCACAGAGAAGGGGTCGGATCCCCATGAGATTCCATTCAGGGCCTCAAGGTCTCTAGCCCAAAATACACTGGCCATTCCGGGGAACTCCGGATCCCAGCATCTTCTTCCAAAATTCTCACCTAGGCTGGGCCTCAGCGTAATCCTATTGAGCATGATTTTTAAGTCATCACCTCTCTTCAGGACAATATAAGGTTCTCATCATCGACCCAACCCAGGGCACCGCCCCCTAACCGCCCGCCACTCATGCATCCAGTGGGGCACAGATGGGCTCACCGCAGCTCAGTGCAGCAGACCAGGGTGCCAGGAAGGGCCTGAGCTTCAGCTCACCAGGGGCTGAGCACCTGGCTGAGAGACACTGGGCCAGAGCCAGCAGGCCCAATGTAAGTCTTCCTCTGGGGTCACCATCTGGAGGGGTGGGGGACAGGTGTCCAAACAGAGCCTCATGTCTCCATGCAGGAAAGTGGGCAGGGTGGGGCTGGCTCACACATGCTCTTCCTCCATGGACTCATGAGATGAGATCCATGTAAAACCATGATGGTCACAAACGCAAGGAACCCTTGGCCACTGAACCCTGGAATGACAGGGCAGGCAGGTCACAGGGTTGGAGCAAAACGCCCAGGCTGCACCCTACTGCAGGACCCTGGAGAACCTCCACTGGCCACGCAAAATCCCCTGCTCGACTCTGGGCTGCACCGGGACCACTGGGCAGGGCCACGGCCACTAACCAGCTCACAACAAACCAAGGAGGCTGGCCTGGATGCCACGTGCCACTGCAGACCTGGTAGTTACGTGGCCTGCCCCTGGGCATGAAATGAACCCATCCAGGCACCCTCTATAAGCTCACATCAGAAATTGCATCCTGGGTCCCCAGGGCCACGTGCCTTCTCTGGGGGGTCCCCATTCATGCACCGCACACCTCCCAAACACAGAGCTGGGCCATGCTCAGCCAATCAGAGGCCATGTGATGTCCTCTCCTTTCCTTCAGCTCAAGACCCACCACCCTGGAGGTGACTCCATGGCTCAGAAGTAGCCTGGGCATCAAATTGCTGGGACAGGACCCTTAACAGTAGGCCTTCCACCACAGGATGCCACCCTTCCAGCTATTCCACTTCAGGTAGCGGTGACCTCCAATGGGACTCAGGCTGCACCCTTGGCCCAAAGCCCATGATTCCCAGGGCCAACCACCAGGTGCTGGCCAGAGCTCAGTCTTGACCCAAACCCACTGAGGCCACACCGCCCCTACCATGCTCAAGGAGGCACCACTGGGATGCCCCATTGCTCCACAGGTAAGTCCCATCAGGGCCATGGGTTGGGCCCAGTCCTTGAATCTTCATGGCCTGACTCCATAAGCTCGATCACCCACACCCTACCCCGCTGCAAGACTCAGGGACAGAGAGCTCCTGCATAACACCTGTGGCCCCCGGAGACCCAGTGGACCCCATCATGTGGCCCTGGAAGTGCTCCAGGCCTAAGCCGTGCCCCAAGTCTCAGGAGCTGCACTGCATTGGGTTGAAGGAACCCTCTCCTGCCTGGACCTCCGTTACCTCTGCAGGGTTTCAGGGAAGGCGTCCTTCTGGGATCAGTTTCCAAGGAAGCCTCCCTCCTGGAGAAACCAGCCATCCCTGGTGGGGATTCAGGTCAGCTCCCTAAGGAAACCCTCATGGCCTGAAGGGTGACCCTCAGCAATCCCCTGCAGCCTGGCTCATGGCCCGTAACCCCAGCAAGATCCACTCACCTATGCTGCTCAAGGCCAGGGGCTCACCTGGGCAGAAGAGCTCACTGAAAGACAGAGGAGAAAAGGGGCTCAGGGAGGAGCCTCCAATGTGCCCCGCCCCCAGGGAACCAGAGTGCCAACACCAAGCCTGCACAAGCAGCCTGGGCTGCCACACAGAGAAGAGTAGAGACAGGGTTGGGCATCCCGGAGGTGTCCTTCAGGGCCTCAAGGACTCCAGCCCAAAATACAGTGGCCCTGCCAGGGGACCTTGGGATCCCAGCATCCTCTTCCAAAATTCTCACCTAGGCTGGGCCTCAGCGTAATCCTATTGAGCATGATTTTTAAGTCATCACCTCTCTTCAGGACAATATAAGGTTCTCATCATTGACCCAACTCAGGGGACCCCCCTCCCCACGCATGCATCCAGTGGGACCCGGATGTGCTCACCACAGCTCAGTGCAGGAGACCAGGGCACCAGGAAGGGCCTGAGCTTCAGTGCACTGGGGGCTGGGGACCTGAGGGATGACTACTCGCCACGGGACAGTGCGCCCAACAAAAGTTTTCCTCTGGTCTCACCATCTGGGGGACAGGATGTGTTCATGTGTCCAAATGGAATCTCATGCCTCCACATGGGAAGGGGGTGGGAGGTGCCAGCTCATGATTGCTCTCCCACCATGGACCCATGTGATGGCATCCATGTGAAACACTGACATGTCATGGACGTGGGGGAACCTTGGCCCTCCCCACCACTGAACCCTGGAAGGACAGGGCAGGCAGGTCACTGGGCTCAGGCAAGACATCCTGGCTATCTGCAGGCACCTTGAGAACTCCACTGCCCACTCCACTTGCTTCGCATGACCCCAGGGCTCTACTGGCCCCCTGGGTGTAGGCCAGGGCCACCTACCATCTCATAGCCAACTAAGGAGGCTGGCCTGCATGCCATGCACCTCTGCCCATCTGGCAGTTGCATAGTCTGCCCCTGTGTGTGGAGGGCAAGTACCCAGGCCCCACTCCACACCACACCAGAAATTGCAGCCTGGGGACCCAGGGCCTCGTGTGTTATCTGATACATCCCCATCCATGCCTCACACAACACCTCCCATACACAGAGCGGGGCCACACTCAGCCAATCGGGGAATGCATGGTGTCTTCTTCTCCTTTCCTTGACCCCACCACCCTGTAGGTGGCCCCGTAGCTCAGAAGCAGCCTGGACAGGTCCTTCCACAGCAGGCCTTCCCACCTCAGGAGGACCCCTTCCCACTACTCGCCCACAAGCAAGGTATGACCCCCAGTGGGACACGGGCTGTATGCTTGGCCCAAAGCCCACGAGTCCCAAGGCCAGACTGCAGTACCATCATGGGGTCACTGGAGCTAGCCTTGACCCGACCTCATGGAAACAGCCCCACCCCACACTTGGCTCAAAGATGCACCACTGGGATGGCCCAGAGCTTAATAGGGTCACTCCCATTCCGGGCCATGGGTTTAGAGAGATCCTTGAAAATCAGAAGCCTGACCTCGTGGACCAAATCACACACACACCTCTCCAAGGTCGGAGAGCCCCTGCAAGACCCCCTTGGTACCCCAGAGCCCTTCTGGTTCCCCTCATGTGGCCTGGCCATCCTAGAGGCCTGACGTGAGCACCGAGTCTCAGCTGGGTGCTGCCCTGCATGGGGCTGAGGAAACCCTTTACTGCCTGGACCATCGCAACCCCTGCAGGGCTTCAGGGAAGGTACCTCCTTGGGTCCAATTCCTAAGAAAGCTGCCTTCCTGGAGAACCCATCCCAGGTGGGGACACACTTCAGCTACTGAGGAAACCCTTGCAGTGCATCTGAAGACTGATGCTCGGAAACCCCACACAGCCTGGCTCATGGGCCATGACCCCAGCAGGATCTACTCACCTATGCTGGTCAATGCCAGGGGGTCTGCTGGGCAGAAGAGCTCACTGAAAGACACAGGGAGAATGGGGGCTTAGGAAGGAGCCACCAAAGTGCCACGCACCTGCGTGACAGGAGCGCTGACACCAAGCCCACATAGTAAGCCTGGGCTGCCTCACGGAGGAGTGCAGAGACAGGGTTGGGCACCCTCCAGATGCCCTCAGAGCCTCCAGGTCTCCAGCCCAAAATACAGTGGTCCTGCCAGGTAACTCGTAATTCCCAGCATCCTCTTCCAAAATTCTCCCCTAGGCTGGGCCTCAGCGTAATCCTATTGAGCATGATTTTTAAGTCATCACCTCTCTTCAGACAATATAAGGTTCTCATCATCGACCCAACCCAGGGCACCCGCCTACCCACACACATATCCAGCAGGACCGAGATGTGCTCACCAAGCTCAATGCAGGAGACCAGGGCCCAGGAGGGCCTGAGCTTCAGCGCAACAGGGGTTGGGCAACTGGCTCACGGCCGCTGGCCTGGGGCCAGCGGGCACAATGCAAGTCTTCCTCTGGGGTCACCATCTGGAGGGACAGGGGATAGGTGTCCAAACAGGGCTTCACGCCTCTGTTTGGGAAAGGGAGGAAGGTGTGCGGGCTCACACATGCTCTCCCTCCATGGACCCATGTGATGGGATCTATATGAAATAACGACAATCATGGACCCAGGGAACCCTTGGCCCTCTCCGCCACCAAACTCTCAAAGGACAGGGTAGGCGAGTCACTGGGTTCAGGCAAGATGCCCAGGCTGTGCCATACAGCAGCCCCTGCAGCACCTCCACTGCCCATGCTGGATCCACTACACGACTCTGGACCACAACAGAACCCCTGGGCAGGGTCCAAGGTCATAAACCAGCTTACGGCCAACTAAGGAGGCTGGCCTGGATGTCAGGCACTGCTGTCGACTGGCAGTCCCACAGCCTGCCCCTGTACAGGGAGGACACCAGCTCAGGCTCCCTCTCCAAGCACGCACCAGCAGTCGCAGCCTGGGGTCAAGCGCCACGTGCTTTCTCTGGGGGGTCCTCACACACACCCCAGACCCCTGTCAAACACAGAGCTGGGCCACACTTGGCCAATCAGGAGCTACATAGTGCCCTCTCCTTTCCTTGGGCCCAAGACCCCACCATCCTGGAGGTGACTTCATGGCTCAGGAGCAGCCTGGGCCACAAATTCCCAGGACAGGTCCCTCAGGAGGGGGCCTTCCAATCTGGGGACGTGACCCTTCCCATCAATGACCTCGAATAAGGGGTGATCCCCAGCAGCAGGCGGGCTGCATCCTTGACCCAAAGCCCATGAGTCCCAGGGTCGGCCTACAGCACGACAAAGCACCAGCCATGGCTCAGCCTTGACCCAACCAGTTCAAGCTGAGTCGCCACCCACCAGGCTCATGGAGGCGCCACTGGGGTGGCCCATTGCTCAACAGGGTCATTCGCATTTAGTGCCATGAGTGGGGTGTGATCCTTCAATCTCCACAACCTGACCCCATGAGCCTGATTGCCCACGCCTCTCTGGGGAGGAAGAGTCCCCGTGTGATCCCTGTGCCACCCCAGAGCCTCTGCTGTCCTGCTCATTTGTCTTGGGCAGTCTTTGAGGAAAGACTTGCACACCAAGTGTCAGCTGGGAGCTGCCCTGCATGAGACTGAAGGAACCCTTTCCAGACTGGACCACTGTCACCCCTGCAGGGCTTCAGGGAAGGCATCGTCTTGGGTCTGATTCCCCAGGAAGCCACCCTCCTGGAGGACAAACCCATCTCTCCACAGTGGAAATTCAGGTCGACTCCCTGAGGAAAACCTCCTGCCTGAAGGCTAATACTTGGTGACCCCACGCAGCCTGACTCATCACCCATGATGCCACGAGGACCCACTCACCTATGCTGGTCACTGCCAGGGGGTCTGCTGGGCAGAAGGGCTCACTGAAAGACACAGGAGAGAATGGGGGCTTAGGAAGGAGCCACCAAAGTACCCTGCCCCCAGGTAAGGGGAGGGCTGACACCAAGCCCACATAGTGAGCCTGGGATGCCTCACGGAGGAGCGCAGAGACAGGGTTGGGAACCCTCTAGATGCCCTCAGAGCCTCCAGGTCTCCAGCCCAAAATACAGAGGACCTCACAGGGAACTCATGTTTCCCAGCATCCTCTTCCAAAATTCTCACCCAGGCTGGGCCTCAGCGTAATCCTATTGAGCATGATTTTTATGTCATCACCTCTCTTCAGACAATATAAGGTTCTCATCATCGACCCAACCCAGGGCACCCCCTCCCCACACACCTATCCAGAAGGACCAAGATGTGCTCACCAAGCTCAATGCAGGAGACCAGGACCCAGGAGGGCCTGAGCTTCAGCTCAACGGGGGTTTGGCAACTGGCCACTGGCCTGGGTCCAGTGGGCACAACGCAAGTCTTCCTCTGGGGTCACCATCTGGAGGGACAGGGGACAGATGTCGAAATGGGGCTTCATGCCTCTGTGCGGGAAAGTGAGGAGGGGGTGCTGGGGCTCACATGCTCTCCCTCCATGGACCCATGTGATGGGATCTATATGAAATAATGAGAGTCATGAACCCAGGGAACACTTGGCCCCCTCTGCCACCAAACCCTCAAAGGACAGAGGAGGCAAGAGACTGGGTTCAGGCAAGATGCCCAGGCTGTGCCATACAGCAGCCCCTGCAGCACCTCCACTGCTTATGGTGGCTCCACTGCATGACTCTTGACCACAACAGAAGCCCTGGGCAGGGTCCAAGGTCACCAACCAGCTCACGGCCAACTAAGGAGGCTGGCCCGGATGCCAGGCACTGCCGCTGACCTGGCAGTCCCACAGCCTGCCCCAGTACAGGGAGGACACCCACCCAGGCTCCCTCTCCAAGCACGCACCAGCAATCGCAGCCTGGGGTCAAGCGCCACGTGCTTTCTCTGTGGGATCCTCACACACACCCCAGACCCCTGTCAAACACAGAGCTGGGCCACACTTGGCCAATCAGGAGCTACATAGTGCCCTCTGCTTTCCTTGGGCCCAAGACCCCACCATCCTGGAGGTGACCTCATGGCTCAGGAGCAGCCTGGGCCACAAATTCCCAGGACAGGTCCCTCAGGAGGGGCCTTCCAATCTGGGGACGTGACCCTTCCCATCAATGACCTCGAATAAGGGGTGATCCCCAGCAGCAGGCGGGCTGCATCCTTGACCCAAAGCCCATGAGTCCCAGGGTCGGCCTACAGCACGACAAAGCACCAGCCATGGCTCAGCCTTGACCCAACCAGTTCAAGCTGAGTCGCCACCCACCAGGCTCATGGAGGCGCCACTGGGGTGGCCCATTGCTCAACAGGGTCATTCGCATTTAGTGCCATGAGTGGGGTGTGATCCTTCAATCTCCACAACCTGACCCCATGGGCCTGATTGCCCACCCCTCTCTGGGGAGGGAGAGTCCCCGTGTGATCCCTGTGCCACCCCAGAGCCTCTGCTGTCCTGCTCATTTGTCTTGGGCAGTCTTTGAGGAAAGACTTGCACACCAAGTGTCAGCTGGGAGCTGCCCTGCATGAGACTGAAGGAACCCTTTCCAGACTGGACCACTGTCACCCCTGCAGGGCTTCAGGGAAGGCATCGTCTTGGGTCTGATTCCCCAGGAAGCCACCCTCCTGGAGGACAAACCCATCTCTCCACAGCGGAAATTCAGGTCGACTCCCTGAGGAAAACCTCCTGCCTGAAGGCTAATACTTGGTGACCCCACGCAGCCTGACTCATCACCCATGATGCCACCAGGACCCACTCACCTATGCTGGTCACTGCCAGGGGGTGTGCTGGGCAGAAGGGCTCACTGAAAGACACAGGGGAGAATGGGGGCTTAGGAAGGAGCCACCAAAGTACCCTGCCCCCAGGTAAGGGGAGGGCTGACACCAAGCCCACATAGTGAGCCTGGGCTGCCTCACGGAGGAGCGCAGAGACAGGGTTGGGAACCCTCCAGATGCCCTCAGAGCCTCCAGGTCTCCAGCCCAAAATACAGTGGACCTCACAGGGAACTCATGTTTCCCAGCATCCTCTTCCAACATTCTCACCCAGGCTGGGCCTCAGCGTAATCCTATTGAGCATGATTTTTATGTCATCACTTCTCTTCAGACAATATAAGGTTCTCATCATCGACCCAACCCAGGGCACCCCCTCCCCACACACCTATCCAGAAGGACCAAGATGTGCTCACCAAGCTCAATGCAGGAGACCAGGACCCAGGAGGGCCTGAGCTTCAGCTCAGCAGGGGTTTGGCAACTGGCTACTGGCCTGGGTCCAGTGGGCACAACGCAAGTCTTCCTCTGGGGTCACCATCTGGAGGGACAGGGGACAGATGTCCAAATGGGGCTTCATGCCTCTGTGCGGGAAAGTGAGGAGGGGGTGCTGGGGCTCACATGCTCTCCCTCCATGGACCCATGTGATGGAATCTATATGAAATAATGAGAGTCATGGACCCAGGGAACCCTTGGCCCTCTCTGCCACCAAACCCTCAAAGGACAGAGGAGGCGAGAGACTGGGTTCAGGCAAGATGCCCAGGCTGTGCCATACAGCAGCCCCTGCAGCACCTCCACTGCTTATGGTGGCTCCACTGCATGACTCTGGACCACAACAGAAGCCCTGGGCAGGGTCCAAGGTCACCAACCAGCTCACGGCCAACTAAGGAGGCTGGCCCGGATGCCAGGCACTGCCGCTGACCTGGCAGTCCCACAGCCTGCCCCAGTACAGGGAGGACACCCACCCAGGCTCCCTCTCCAAGCACGCACCAGCAATCGCAGCCTGGGGTCAAGCGCCACGTGCTTTCTCTGGGGGGTCCTCACACACACCCCAGACCCCTGTCAAACACAGAGCTGGGCCACACTTGGCCAATCAGGAGCTACATAGTGCCCTCTGCTTTCCTTGGGCCCAAGACCCCACCATCCTGGAGGTGACCTCATGGCTCAGGAACAGCCTGGGCCACAAATTCCCAGGACCTGTCCCTCATGAGGGGGCTTTCCAATCTGGGTACGTGACCCTTCCCACCAATGACCTCGAATAAGGGGTGATACCCAGCAGCAGGCGGGCTGCATCCTTGACCCAAAGCCCATGAGTCCCAGGGTCGGCCTACAGCACGACAAAGCACCAGCCATGGCTCAGCCTTGACCCAACCAGTTGTGCCGAGTAGCCACGCACCAGGCTCATGGAGGCGCCACTGGTGTGGCCCATTGCTCAACAGGGTCATTCGCATTTAGTGCCATGAGTGGGGTGTGATCCTTGAATCTCCACAACCTGACCCCATGGGCCTGATTGCCCACCCCTCTCTGGGGAGGGAGAGTCCCCGTGTGATCCCTGTGCCACCCCAGAGCCTCTGCTGTCCTGCTCATTTGTCTTGGGCAGTCTTTGAGGAAAGACTTGCACACCAAGTGTCAGCTGGGAGCTGCCCTGCATGAGACTGAAGGAACCCTTTCCAGACTGGACCACTGTCACCCCTGCAGGGCTTCAGGGAAGGCATCGTCTTGGGTCTGATTCCCCAGAAAGCCACCCTCCTGGAGGACAAACCCATCTCTCCACAGTGGAAATTCAGGTCGACTCCCCGAGGAAAACCTCCTGCCTGAAGGCTAATACTTGGTGACCCCACGCAGCCTGACTCATCACCCATGATGCCACCAGGACCCACTCACCTATGCTGGTCACTGCAGGGGGTCTGCTGGGCAGAGGGGCTCACTGAAAGACATAGGGGAGAATGGGGGCTTAGGAAGGAGCCACCAAAGTACCCTGCCCCCAGGTAAGGGGATGGCTGACACCAAGCCCACGTGGTTAGCCTGGGCTGCTTCACGGAGGAGCGCAGAGACAGGGTTGGGCACCCTCTAGATGCCCTCAGAGCCTCCAGGTCTCCAGCCCAAAATACAGAGGACCTCACAGGGAACTCATGTTTCCCAGCATCCTCTTCCAAAATTCTCACCCAGGCTGGGCCTCAGCGTAATCCTATTGAGCATGATTTTTATGTCATCACCTCTCTTCAGACAATATAAGGTTCTCATCATCGACCCAACCCAGGGCACCCCCTCCCCACACACCTATCCAGAAGGACCAAGATGTGCTCACCAAGCTCAATGCAGGAGACCAGGACCCAGGAGGGCCTGAACTTCAGCTCAACAGGGGTTTGGCAACTGGCCACTGGCCTGGGTCCAGTGGGCACAACGCAAGTCTTCCTCTGGGGTCACCATCTGGAGGGACAGGGGACAGATGTCGAAATGGGGCTTCATGCCTCTGTGCGGGAAAGTGAGGAGGGGGTGCTGGGGCTCACATGCTCTCCCTCCATGGACCCATGTGATGGAATCTATATGAAATAATGAGAGTCATGGACCCAGGGAACCCTTGGCCCTCTCTGCCACCAAACCCTCAAAGGACAGAGGAGGCGAGAGACTGGGTTCAGGCAAGTTGCCCAGGCTGTGCCATACAGCAGCCCCTGCAGCACCTCCACTGCTTATGGTGGCTCCACTGCATGACTCTGGAGCACAACAGAAGCCCTGGGCAGGGTCCAAGGTCACCAACCAGCTCACGGCCAACTAAGGAGGCTGGCCCGGATGCCAGGCACTGCCGCTGACCTGGCAGTCCCACAGCCTGCCCCAGTACAGGGAGGACACCCACCCAGGCTCCCTCTCCAAGCACGCACCAGCAATCGCAGCCTGGGGTCAAGCGCCACGTGCTTTCTCTGGGGGTCCTCACACACACCCCAGACCCCTGTCAAACACAGAGCTGGGCCACACTTGGCCAATCAGGAGCTACATAGTGCCCTCTGCTTTCCTTGGGCCCAAGACCCCACCATCCTGGAGGTGACCTCATGGCTCAGGAACAGCCTGGGCCACAAATTCCCAGGACCGTCCCTCATGAGGGGGCTTTCCAATCTGGGTACGTGACCCTTCCCACCAATGACCTCGAATAAGGGGTGATACCCAGCAGCAGGCGGGCTGCATCCTTGACCCAAAGCCCATGAGTCCCAGGGTCGGCCTACAGCACGACAAAGCACCAGCCATGGCTCAGCCTTGACCCAACCAGTTGAAGCCGAGTAGCCACGCACCAGGCTCATGGAGGCGCCACTGGTGTGGCCCATTGCTCAACAGGGTCATTCGCATTTAGTGCCATGAGTGGGGTGTGATCCTTGAATCTCCACAACCTGACCCCATGGGCCTGATTGCCCACCCCTCTCTGGGGAGGGAGAGTCCCCGTGTGATCCCTGTGCCACCCCAGAGCCTCTGCTGTCCTGCTCATTTGTCTTGGGCAGTCTTTGAGGAAAGACTTGCACACCAAGTGTCAGCTGGGAGCTGCCCTGCATGAGACTGAAGGAACCCTTTCCAGACTGGACCACTGTCACCCCTGCAGGGCTTCAGGGAAGGCATCGTCTTGGGTCTGATTCCCCAGAAAGCCACCCTCCTGGAGGACAAACCCATCTCTCCACAGTGGAAATTCAGGTCGACTCCCCGAGGAAAACCTCCTGCCTGAAGGCTAATACTTGGTGACCCCACGCAGCCTGACTCATCACCCATGATGCCACCAGGACCCACTCACCTATGCTGGTCACTGCAGGGGGTCTGCTGGGCAGAGGGGCTCACTGAAAGACATAGGGGAGAATGGGGGCTTAGGAAGGAGCCACCAAAGTACCCTGCCCCCAGGTAAGGGGATGGCTGACACCAAGCCCACGTGGTTAGCCTGGGCTGCTTCACGGAGGAGCGCAGAGACAGGGTTGGGCACCCTCTAGATGCCCTCAGAGCCTCCAGGTCTCCAGCCCAAAATACAGAGGACCTCACAGGGAACTCATGTTTCCCAGCATCCTCTTCCAAAATTCTCACCCAGGCTGGGCCTCAGCGTAATCCTATTGAGCATGATTTTTATGTCATCACTTCTCTTCAGACAATATAAGGTTCTCATCATCGACCCAACCCAGGGCACCCCCTCCCCACACACCTATCCAGAAGGACCAAGATGTGCTCACCAAGCTCAATGCAGGAGACCAGGACCCAGGAGGGCCTGAGCTTCAGCTCAGCAGGGGTTTGGCAACTGGCTACTGGCCTGGGTCCAGTGGGCACAACGCAAGTCTTCCTCTGGGGTCACCATCTGGAGGGACAGGGGACAGATGTCGAAATGGGGCTTCATGCCTCTGTGCGGGAAAGTGAGGAGGGGGTGCTGGGGCTCACATGCTCTCCCTCCATGGACCCATGTGATGGGATCTATATGAAATAATGAGAGTCATGAACCCAGGGAACACTTGGCCCCCTCTGCCACCAAACCCTCAAAGGACAGAGGAGGCAAGAGACTGGGTTCAGGCAAGATGCCCAGGCTGTGCCATACAGCAGCCCCTGCAGCACCTCCACTGCTTATGGTGGCTCCACTGCATGACTCTTGACCACAACAGAAGCCCTGGGCAGGGTCCAAGGTCACCAACCAGCTCACGGCCAACTAAGGAGGCTGGCCCGGATGCCAGGCACTGCCGCTGACCTGGCAGTCCCACAGCCTGCCCCAGTACAGGGAGGACACCCACCCAGGCTCCCTCTCCAAGCACGCACCAGCAATCGCAGCCTGGGGTCAAGCGCCACGTGCTTTCTCTGGGGGTCCTCACACACACCCCAGACCCCTGTCAAACACAGAGCTGGGCCACACTTGGCCAATCAGGAGCTACATAGTGCCCTCTGCTTTCCTTGGGCCCAAGACCCCACCATCCTGGAGGTGACCTCATGGCTCAGGAACAGCCTGGGCCACAAATTCCCAGGACCCGTCCCTCATGAGGGGGCTTTCCAATCTGGGTACGTGACCCTTCCCACCAATGACCTCGAATAAGGGGTGATACCCAGCAGCAGGCGGGCTGCATCCTTGACCCAAAGCCCATGAGTCCCAGGGTCGGCCTACAGCACGACAAAGCACCAGCCATGGCTCAGCCTTGACCCAACCAGTTGAAGCCGAGTAGCCACGCACCAGGCTCATGGAGGCGCCACTGGTGTGGCCCATTGCTCAACAGGGTCATTCGCATTTAGTGCCATGAGTGGGGTGTGATCCTTGAATCTCCACAACCTGACCCCATGGGCCTGATTGCCCACCCCTCTCTGGGGAGGGAGAGTCCCCGTGTGATCCCTGTGCCACCCCAGAGCCTCTGCTGTCCTGCTCATTTGTCTTGGGCAGTCTTTGAGGAAAGACTTGCACACCAAGTGTCAGCTGGGAGCTGCCCTGCATGAGACTGAAGGAACCCTTTCCAGACTGGACCACTGTCACCCCTGCAGGGCTTCAGGGAAGGCATCGTCTTGGGTCTGATTCCCCAGAAAGCCACCCTCCTGGAGGACAAACCCATCTCTCCACAGTGGAAATTCAGGTCGACTCCCCGAGGAAAACCTCCTGCCTGAAGGCTAATACTTGGTGACCCCACGCAGCCTGACTCATCACCCATGATGCCACCAGGACCCACTCACCTATGCTGGTCACTGCAGGGGGTCTGCTGGGCAGAGGGGCTCACTGAAAGACATAGGGGAGAATGGGGGCTTAGGAAGGAGCCACCAAAGTACCCTGCCCCCAGGTAAGGGGATGGCTGACACCAAGCCCACGTGGTTAGCCTGGGCTGCTTCACGGAGGAGCGCAGAGACAGGGTTGGGCACCCTCTAGATGCCCTCAGAGCCTCCAGGTCTCCAGCCCAAAATACAGAGGACCTCACAGGGAACTCATGTTTCCCAGCATCCTCTTCCAAAATTCTCACCCAGGCTGGGCCTCAGCGTAATCCTATTGAGCATGATTTTTATGTCATCACCTCTCTTCAGACAATATAAGGTTCTCATCATCGACCCAACCCAGGGCACCCCCTCCCCACACACCTATCCAGAAGGACCAAGATGTGCTCACCAAGCTCAATGCAGGAGACCAGGACCCAGGAGGGCCTGAACTTCAGCTCAACAGGGGTTTGGCAACTGGCCACTGGCCTGGGTCCAGTGGGCACAACGCAAGTCTTCCTCTGGGGTCACCATCTGGAGGGACAGGGGACAGATGTCGAAATGGGGCTTCATGCCTCTGTGCGGGAAAGTGAGGAGGGGGTGCTGGGGCTCACATGCTCTCCCTCCATGGACCCATGTGATGGAATCTATATGAAATAATGAGAGTCATGGACCCAGGGAACCCTTGGCCCTCTCTGCCACCAAACCCTCAAAGGACAGAGGAGGCGAGAGACTGGGTTCAGGCAAGTTGCCCAGGCTGTGCCATACAGCAGCCCCTGCAGCACCTCCACTGCTTATGGTGGCTCCACTGCATGACTCTGGAGCACAACAGAAGCCCTGGGCAGGGTCCAAGGTCACCAACCAGCTCACGGCCAACTAAGGAGGCTGGCCCGGATGCCAGGCACTGCCGCTGACCTGGCAGTCCCACAGCCTGCCCCAGTACAGGGAGGACACCCACCCAGGCTCCCTCTCCAAGCACGCACCAGCAATCGCAGCCTGGGGTCAAGCGCCACGTGCTTTCTCTGGGGGGTCCTCACACACACCCCAGACCCCTGTCAAACACAGAGCTGGGCCACACTTGGCCAATCAGGAGCTACATAGTGCCCTCTGCTTTCCTTGGGCCCAAGACCCCACCATCCTGGAGGTGACCTCATGGCTCAGGAACAGCCTGGGCCACAAATTCCCAGGACCTGTCCCTCATGAGGGGGCTTTCCAATCTGGGTACGTGACCCTTCCCACCAATGACCTCGAATAAGGGGTGATACCCAGCAGCAGGCGGGCTGCATCCTTGACCCAAAGCCCATGAGTCCCAGGGTCGGCCTACAGCACGACAAAGCACCAGCCATGGCTCAGCCTTGACCCAACCAGTTGAAGCCGAGTAGCCACGCACCAGGCTCATGGAGGCGCCACTGGTGTGGCCCATTGCTCAACAGGGTCATTCGCATTTAGTGCCATGAGTGGGGTGTGATCCTTGAATCTCCACAACCTGACCCCATGGGCCTGATTGCCCACCCCTCTCTGGGGAGGGAGAGTCCCCGTGTGATCCCTGTGCCACCCCAGAGCCTCTGCTGTCCTGCTCATTTGTCTTGGGCAGTCTTTGAGGAAAGACTTGCACACCAAGTGTCAGCTGGGAGCTGCCCTGCATGAGACTGAAGGAACCCTTTCCAGACTGGACCACTGTCACCCCTGCAGGGCTTCAGGGAAGGCATCGTCTTGGGTCTGATTCCCAGAAAGCCACCCTCCTGGAGGACAAACCCATCTCTCCACAGTGGAAATTCAGGTCGACTCCCCGAGGAAAACCTCCTGCCTGAAGGCTAATACTTGGTGACCCCACGCAGCCTGACTCATCACCCATGATGCCACCAGGACCCACTCACCTATGCTGGTCACTGCAGGGGGTCTGCTGGGCAGAGGGGCTCACTGAAAGACATAGGGGAGAATGGGGGCTTAGGAAGGAGCCACCAAAGTACCCTGCCCCCAGGTAAGGGGATGGCTGACACCAAGCCCACGTGGTTAGCCTGGGCTGCTTCACGGAGGAGCGCAGAGACAGGGTTGGGCACCCTCTAGATGCCCTCAGAGCCTCCAGGTCTCCAGCCCAAAATACAGAGGACCTCACAGGGAACTCATGTTTCCCAGCATCCTCTTCCAAAATTCTCACCCAGGCTGGGCCTCAGCGTAATCCTATTGAGCATGATTTTTATGTCATCACCTCTCTTCAGACAATATAAGGTTCTCATCATCGACCCAACCCAGGGCACCCCCTCCCCACACACCTATCCAGAAGGACCAAGATGTGCTCACCAAGCTCAATGCAGGAGACCAGGACCCAGGAGGGCCTGAACTTCAGCTCAACAGGGGTTTGGCAACTGGCCACTGGCCTGGGTCCAGTGGGCACAACGCAAGTCTTCCTCTGGGGTCACCATCTGGAGGGACAGGGGACAGATGTCGAAATGGGGCTTCATGCCTCTGTGCGGGAAAGTGAGGAGGGGGTGCTGGGGCTCACATGCTCTCCCTCCATGGACCCATGTGATGGAATCTATATGAAATAATGAGAGTCATGGACCCAGGGAACCCTTGGCCCTCTCTGCCACCAAACCCTCAAAGGACAGAGGAGGCGAGAGACTGGGTTCAGGCAAGTTGCCCAGGCTGTGCCATACAGCAGCCCCTGCAGCACCTCCACTGCTTATGGTGGCTCCACTGCATGACTCTGGAGCACAACAGAAGCCCTGGGCAGGGTCCAAGGTCACCAACCAGCTCACGGCCAACTAAGGAGGCTGGCCCGGATGCCAGGCACTGCCGCTGACCTGGCAGTCCCACAGCCTGCCCCAGTACAGGGAGGACACCCACCCAGGCTCCCTCTCCAAGCACGCACCAGCAATCGCAGCCTGGGGTCAAGCGCCACGTGCTTTCTCTGGGGGGTCCTCACACACACCCCAGACCCCTGTCAAACACAGAGCTGGGCCACACTTGGCCAATCAGGAGCTACATAGTGCCCTCTGCTTTCCTTGGGCCCAAGACCCCACCATCCTGGAGGTGACCTCATGGCTCAGGAACAGCCTGGGCCACAAATTCCCAGGACCTGTCCCTCATGAGGGGGCTTTCCAATCTGGGTACGTGACCCTTCCCACCAATGACCTCGAATAAGGGGTGATACCCAGCAGCAGGCGGGCTGCATCCTTGACCCAAAGCCCATGAGTCCCAGGGTCGGCCTACAGCACGACAAAGCACCAGCCATGGCTCAGCCTTGACCCAACCAGTTGAAGCCGAGTAGCCACGCACCAGGCTCATGGAGGCGCCACTGGGTGGCCCATTGCTCAACAGGGTCATTCGCATTTAGTGCCATGAGTGGGGTGTGATCCTTGAATCTCCACAACCTGACCCCATGGGCCTGATTGCCCACCCCTCTCTGGGGAGGGAGAGTCCCCGTGTGATCCCTGTGCCACCCCAGAGCCTCTGCTGTCCTGCTCATTTGTCTTGGGCAGTCTTTGAGGAAAGACTTGCACACCAAGTGTCAGCTGGGAGCTGCCCTGCATGAGACTGAAGGAACCCTTTCCAGACTGGACCACTGTCACCCCTGCAGGGCTTCAGGGAAGGCATCGTCTTGGGTCTGATTCCCCAGAAAGCCACCCTCCTGGAGGACAAACCCATCTCTCCACAGTGGAAATTCAGGTCGACTCCCCGAGGAAAACCTCCTGCCTGAAGGCTAATACTTGGTGACCCCACGCAGCCTGACTCATCACCCATGATGCCACCAGGACCCACTCACCTATGCTGGTCACTGCAGGGGTCTGCTGGGCAGAGGGGCTCACTGAAAGACATAGGAGAGAATGGGGGCTTAGGAAGGAGCCACCAAAGTACCCTGCCCCCAGGTAAGGGGATGGCTGACACCAAGCCCACGTGGTTAGCCTGGGCTGCTTCACGGAGGAGCGCAGAGACAGGGTTGGGCACCCTCTAGATGCCCTCAGAGCCTCCAGGTCTCCAGCCCAAAATACAGAGGACCTCACAGGGAACTCATGTTTCCCAGCATCCTCTTCCAAAATTCTCACCCAGGCTGGGCCTCAGCGTAATCCTATTGAGCATGATTTTTATGTCATCACCTCTCTTCAGACAATATAAGGTTCTCATCATCGACCCAACCCAGGGCACCCCCTCCCCACACACCTATCCAGAAGGACCAAGATGTGCTCACCAAGCTCAATGCAGGAGACCAGGACCCAGGAGGGCCTGAACTTCAGCTCAACAGGGGTTTGGCAACTGGCCACTGGCCTGGGTCCAGTGGGCACAACGCAAGTCTTCCTCTGGGGTCACCATCTGGAGGGACAGGGGACAGATGTCGAAATGGGGCTTCATGCCTCTGTGCGGGAAAGTGAGGAGGGGGTGCTGGGGCTCACATGCTCTCCCTCCATGGACCCATGTGATGGAATCTATATGAAATAATGAGAGTCATGACCCAGGGAACCCTTGGCCCTCTCTGCCACCAAACCCTCAAAGGACAGAGGAGGCGAGAGACTGGGTTCAGGCAAGTTGCCCAGGCTGTGCCATACAGCAGCCCCTGCAGCACCTCCACTGCTTATGGTGGCTCCACTGCATGACTCTGGACACAACAGAAGCCCTGGGCAGGGTCCAAGGTCACCAACCAGCTCACGGCCAACTAAGGAGGCTGGCCCGGATGCCAGGCACTGCCGCTGACCTGGCAGTCCCACAGCCTGCCCCAGTACAGGGAGGACACCCACCCAGGCTCCCTCTCCAAGCACGCACCAGCAATCGCAGCCTGGGGTCAAGCGCCACGTGCTTTCTCTGGGGGGTCCTCACACACACCCCAGACCCCTGTCAAACACAGAGCTGGGCCACACTTGGCCAATCAGGAGCTACATAGTGCCCTCTGCTTTCCTTGGGCCCAAGACCCCACCATCCTGGAGGTGACCTCATGGCTCAGGAACAGCCTGGGCCACAAATTCCCAGGACCGTCCCTCATGAGGGGGCTTTCCAATCTGGGTACGTGACCCTTCCCACCAATGACCTCGAATAAGGGGTGATACCCAGCAGCAGGCGGGCTGCATCCTTGACCCAAAGCCCATGAGTCCCAGGGTCGGCCTACAGCACGACAAAGCACCAGCCATGGCTCAGCCTTGACCCAACCAGTTGAAGCCGAGTAGCCACGCACCAGGCTCATGGAGGCGCCACTGGGTGGCCCATTGCTCAACAGGGTCATTCGCATTTAGTGCCATGAGTGGGGTGTGATCCTTGAATCTCCACAACCTGACCCCATGGGCCTGATTGCCCACCCCTCTCTGGGGAGGGAGAGTCCCCGTGTGATCCCTGTGCCACCCCAGAGCCTCTGCTGTCCTGCTCATTTGTCTTGGGCAGTCTTTGAGGAAAGACTTGCACACCAAGTGTCAGCTGGGAGCTGCCCTGCATGAGACTGAAGGAACCCTTTCCAGACTGGACCACTGTCACCCCTGCAGGGCTTCAGGGAAGGCATCGTCTTGGGTCTGATTCCCCAGAAAGCCACCCTCCTGGAGGACAAACCCATCTCTCCACAGTGGAAATTCAGGTCGACTCCCCGAGGAAAACCTCCTGCCTGAAGGCTAATACTTGGTGACCCCACGCAGCCTGACTCATCACCCATGATGCCACCAGGACCCACTCACCTATGCTGGTCACTGCAGGGGGTCTGCTGGGCAGAGGGGCTCACTGAAAGACATAGGGGAGAATGGGGGCTTAGGAAGGAGCCACCAAAGTACCCTGCCCCCAGGTAAGGGGATGGCTGACACCAAGCCCACGTGGTTAGCCTGGCTGCTTCACGGAGGAGCGCAGAGACAGGGTTGGGCACCCTCTAGATGCCCTCAGAGCCTCCAGGTCTCCAGCCCAAAATACAGAGGACCTCACAGGGAACTCATGTTTCCCAGCATCCTCTTCCAAAATTCTCACCCAGGCTGGGCCTCAGCGTAATCCTATTGAGCATGATTTTTATGTCATCACCTCTCTTCAGACAATATAAGGTTCTCATCATCGACCCAACCCAGGGCACCCCCTCCCCACACACCTATCCAGAAGGACCAAGATGTGCTCACCAAGCTCAATGCAGGAGACCAGGACCCAGGAGGGCCTGAACTTCAGCTCAACAGGGGTTTGGCAACTGGCCACTGGCCTGGGTCCAGTGGGCACAACGCAAGTCTTCCTCTGGGGTCACCATCTGGAGGGACAGGGGACAGATGTCGAAATGGGGCTTCATGCCTCTGTGCGGGAAAGTGAGGAGGGGTGCTGGGGCTCACATGCTCTCCCTCCATGGACCCATGTGATGGAATCTATATGAAATAATGAGAGTCATGGACCCAGGGAACCCTTGGCCCTCCTGCCACCAAACCCTCAAAGGACAGAGGAGGCGAGAGACTGGGTTCAGGCAAGATGCCCAGGCTGTGCCATACAGCAGCCCCTGCAGCACCTCCACTGCTTATGGTGGCTCCACTGCATGACTCTGGACCACAACAGAAGCCCTGGGCAGGGTCCAAGGTCACCAACCAGCTCACGGCCAACTAAGGAGGCTGGCCCGGATGCCAGGCACTGCCGCTGACCTGCAGTCCCACAGCCTGCCCCAGTACAGGGAGGACACCCACCCAGGCTCCCTCTCCAAGCACGCACCAGCAATCGCAGCCTGGGGTCAAGCGCCACGTGCTTTCTCTGGGGGGTCCTCACACACCCCAGACCCCTGTCAAACACAGAGCTGGGCCACACTTGGCCAATCAGGAGCTACATAGTGCCCTCTGCTTTCCTTGGGCCCAAGACCCCACCATCCTGGAGGTGACCTCATGGCTCAGGAACAGCCTGGGCCACAAATTCCAGGACCGTCCCTCATGAGGGGGCTTTCCAATCTGGGTACGTGACCCTTCCCACCAATGACCTCGAATAAGGGTGATACCCAGCAGCAGGCGGGCTGCATCCTTGACCCAAAGCCCATGAGTCCCAGGGTCGGCCTACAGCACGACAAAGCACCAGCATGGCTCAGCCTTGACCAACCAGTGAGCCGAGTGCACCACAGGCCATGGAGGCGCCTGGTGTGGCCCATTGCTCAACAGGGTCATTCGCATTTAGTGCATGAGTGGGGTGTGATCTTGAATTCCACAACTGACCCCATGGGCTGATTGCCCACCCTCTTGGGGAGGGAGAGTCCCCCGTGTGATCCTGTGGCACCCCAGAGCCTCTGCTGTCCTGCTCATTTGTCTTGGGCAGTCTTTGGGAAAGACTTGCACCCAAGTGTCAGCTGGGAGCTGCCCTGCATGAGACTGAGGAACCTTTCCAGACTGGACCACTGTCACCCTGCAGGGCTCAGGGAGGCATCGTCTTGGGTCTGGATTCCCAGAAAGCCAACCTCCTGGAGGACAACCCATCTCTCCACAGTGGAAATTCAGGTCGATCCCCGAGGAAAACCTCCTGCCTGAAGGCTAATACTTGGTGACCCACGCAGCCTGACTCATCACCCATGATGCCACCAGGACCCACTCACCTATGCTGGTCACTGCAGGGGGTCTGCTGGGCAGAGGGGCTCACTGAAGACATAGGGGAGAATGGGGGCTTAGGAAGGAGCACAAATACCTGCCCCAGGTAGGGAGGCTGACACCAGCCCAGTGGTTAGCTGGTGCTTCACGAGGAGCGCAGAGCAGGGTGGGCACCTCAGATGCCTCAGAGCCTCCAGTTCCAGCCCAAATACAGAGGACCTCACAGGGAACTCATGTTCCCAGCATCCTCTCAAAATTCCTCACCACTGGGCCTCAGCGTAATCCTATGAGCATATTTTATGTCATCACTCTCTTCAACAATATAAGGTTCATCATCGACCCAACCAGGGCACCCTCCCCACACACCTATCCAGAAGGACCAAGATGTCTCACAAGCTCAATGCAGGAGACCAGACCCAGAGGGCCTGATTCAGCTCACAGGGTTGGCACTGGCCTGGCCTGGTCCAGTGGGACAACGCAAGTCTTCCTCTGGGTCACATCGGATAGGACAGGGGACAGATGTCGGAAATGGGGCTTCATGCCTCTGTGCGGAGAAAGTGAGGAGGGGGGTGCTGGGGCTCACATGCTCTCCTCCATGGACCCATGTGATGGAATCTATATGAAATATGAAGTCATGGACCCAGGGAACCCTTGGCCCTCTCTGGCCACCAAACCCTCAAAGGACAGAGGAGGCGAGAGACTGGGTTCAGGGCAAGTTGCCCAGGCTGTGCCATACAGCAGCCCCTTGCGCAGACCTCCACTGCTTATGGGTGGCTCCACTGCATGACCTGGACACAACAGAAGCCCTGGGCAGGGTCCAAGGTCACCAACCAGCTCACGGCCAACTAAGGAGGCTGGCCCGGATGCCAGGCACTGCCGCTGACCTGGCGTCCCACAGCCTGCCCCAGTACAGGGAGGACACCACCCAGGCTCCCTCTCCAAGCACCACCAGCAATCGCAGCCTGGGTCAAGCGCCACGTGCTTTCTCTGGGGTCCTCACACACACCCAGACCCCTGTCAAACAGAGTGGGCCACTTGGCCAATCAGGACTACATATGCCCTTGCTTTCCTTGGCCCAAGACCCACCATCTGGAGGTGACCTCATGGCTCAGGACAGCCTGGCCACAAATTCCAGACCCGTCCTCTGAGGGGCTTCCAATCTGGGTACTGACCCTTCCCAATGACCTCGAAAGGGGTGTACCAGCAGCAGGCGGGCTGCATCCTTGACCCAAAGCCATGAGTCCCAGGGTCGGCCTACAGCACGACAAAGCACAGCCATGGCTCAGCCTTGACCCAACCAGTTAAGCGAGTGCACCACCAGGCTCATGGAGGCGCCACTGGGGTGGCCCATTGCTCAACAGGGTCATTCGCATTTAGTGCCATGAGTGGGGTGTGATCCTTGAATCTCACAACCTGACCCCATGGCCTGATTGCCCACCCTCTTGGGGAGGAGAGTCCCGTGTGATCCCTGTGCCACCCCAGAGCCTCTGCTGTCCTGCTCATTTGTCTTGGGCAGTCTTTGAGGAAAGACTTGCACACCAAGTGTCAGCTGGGAGCTGCCCTGCATGAGACTGAAGGAACCTTTCCAGACTGGACCACTGTCACCCCTGCAGGGCTTCAGGGAAGGCATCGTCTTGGGTCTGATTCCCCAGAAGCCACCCTCCTGGAGGACAAACCCATCTCTCCACAGTGGAAATTCAGGTCGACTCCCCGAGGAAAACCTCCTGCCTGAGGCTAATACTTGGTGACCCCACGCAGCCTGACTCATCACCCATGATGCCACCAGGACCCACTCACCTATGCTGGTCACTGCAGGGGGTCTGCTGGGCAGAGGGGCTCACTGAAAGACATAGGGGAGAATGGGGGCTTAGGAAGGAGCCACCAAAGTACCCTGCCCCCAGGTAGGGGATGGCTGACACCAAGCCCACGTGGTTAGCCTGGGCTGCTTCACGGAGGAGCGCAGAGACAGGGTTGGGCACCCTCTAGTTGCCCTCAGAGCCTCCAGGTCTCCAGCCCAAAATACAGTGGACCTCACAGGGAACTCATGTTTCCCAGCATCCTCTTCCAAAATTCTCACCCAGGCTGGGCCTCAGCGTAATCCTATTGAGCATGATTTTTATGTCATCACCTCTCTTCAGACAATATAAGGTTCTCATCATCGACCCAACCCAGGGCACCCCCTCCCCACACACCTATCCAGCAGGACCGAGATGTGCTCACCAAGCTCAATGCAGGAGACCAGGACCCAGGAGGGCCTGAGCTTCAGCTCAACAGGGGTTTGGCTACTGGCCACTGGCCTGGGTCCAGTGGGCACAACGCAAGTCTTCCTCTGGGGTCACCATCTGGAGGGACAGGGGACAGATGTCCAAATGGGGCTTCATGCCTCTGTGCGGGAAAGTGAGGAGGGGGTGCTGGGGCTCACATGCTCTCCCTCCATGGACCCATGTGATGGGATCTATATGAAATAATGACAGTCATGCACCCAGGGAACCCTTGGCCCTCTCTGCCACCAAACCCTCAAAGGACAGAGGAGGCGAGAGACTGGGTTCAGGCAAGATGCCCAGGCTGTGCCATACAGCAGCCCCTGCAGCACCTCCACTGCTTATGGTGGCTCCACTGCATGACTCTGGACCACAACAGAACCCCTGGGCAGGGTCCAAGGTCACCAACCAGCTCAAGGCCAACCAAGGAGGCTGGCCCGGATGCCAGGCACTGCCGCTGACCTGGCAGTCCCACAGCCTGCCCCAGTACAGGGAGGACACCCACCCAGGCTCCCTCTCCAAGCACGCACCAGAAATCGCAGCCTGGGGCCCAGGGCCACATGCTTTCTCTGCTGGGTCCTCATCCACATCCCAGACCCCTGTCAAACACAGAGCTGGACCACACTTGGCCAATCAGGAGCCACATGGTGCCCCCTCCTTTCCTTGGGCCCAAGACCCTGCCACCCTGGAGGTGACCCCATGGCTCAGAAGCAGCCTGGGCAACAAATTCCTGGGACAGGTCCCTTACGAGGGGGCCTTCAAACCTCTGGACGCAACCCATCCCACCCTTGACCTCGAGGAAAGGGTGACCCCCAGCAGCAGGCGGGCTGCACCCTTGACCCAAAGCCCATGATCCCAGGGCCAGCCTGGAGCACCATGAAGCACCAGCCATGGCTCAGCTTTGACCCAACCAGTTGAAGCCAAGCTGCCACTCACCAGGTTCCAGGAAGCGCCACTGGGGTCGCCCATTGCTCAACAGGGTCATTCGCATTGAGGGCCATGAGTGGGGTGTGATCCTTGAATTTCCACAGCCTGACCCCATGGGCCCAACTGCCCACCCCTCTCTGGGGAAGGGACAGATTCACACACCATGTGTCAGCTGGGAGCTGCCCTGCCTGAGGCTAAAGGAACCCTTTCCAGACTGGACCACTATCACCCCTGCAGGGCTCAGGGAAGGCATCGTCTTGGGTCTGATCCCCCAGGAAGCTGCCTTCCTAGAGGACAAACCCATCTCTCCACAGTGGAAATTCAGGTCAACTCCCTGAGGAAACCCTCCTGCCTGAAGGCTAATACTTGGTAACCCCACACGCAGCCTGACTCATCACCCATGATGCCGCCAGGATCCACTCACCTATGCTGGTCAATGCCAAGAGTCTGCTGGGCAGAAGAGCTCACTGAAAGACACAGGGGAGAATGGGAGCTCAGGAAGGAGCCATCAAAGTGCCCCGCACCTGGGTAACAGGAGTGCTCACATAGTGAGCCTGGGCTGCCTCACGGAGGAGTGCAGAGACAGGGTTGGGCACCCTCCAGATGCCCTCAGAGCCTCCAGGTCTGCAGCCCAAAATACAGTGGATCTCACGGGGAACTCATGTTTCCCAGCGTCCTCTTCCAAAATTCTCACCCAGGCTGGGCCTCAGCGTAATCCTATTGAGCATGATTTTTATGTCATCACCTCTCTTCAGACAATAAAAGGTTCTCATCATCGACCCAACCCACGGCACCCGCCTACCCACACACGTATCCAGCAGGACCGAGATGTGCTCACCAAGCTCAATGCAGGAGACCAGGGCCCAGGAGGGCCTGAGCTTCAGCGCAACAGGGGTTGGGCAACTGGCTCACGGCCGCTGGCCCGGGGCCAGCGGGCACAATGCAAGTCTTCCTCTGGGGTCACCATCTGGAGGGACAGGGGATAGGTGTCCAAACAGGGCTTCACGCCTCTGTTTGGGAAAGGGAGGAAGGTGTGCTGGCTCACACATGCTCTCCCTCCATGGACCCATGTGATGGGATCTATATGAAATAACGACAATCATGGACCCAGGGAACCCTTGGCCCTCTCCGCCACCAAACTCTCAAAGGACAGGGTAGGCGAGTCACTGGGTTCAGGCAAGATGCCCAGGCTGTGCCATACAGCAGCCCCTGTGACACCTCCACTGCCCATGCTGGCTCCACTACACGACTCTGGACCACAACAGAACCCCTGGGCAGGTTCCAAGGTCATCAACCAGCTTACGGCCAAGTAAGGAGGCTGGCCTGGATGCCAGGCACTGCTGTCGACCTGGCAGTCCCACAGCCTGCCCCTGTACAGGGAGGACACCAACTCAGGCGCCCTCTCCAAGCACGCACCAGCAATCGCAGCCTGGGGTCAAGCGCCACGTGCTTTCTCTGGGGGTTCCTCACACACACCCCAGACCCCTGTCAAACACAGAGCTGGGCCACACTTGGCCAATCAGGAGCTACATAGTGCCCTCTCCTTTCCTTGGGCCCAAGACCCCACCATCCTGGAGGTGACCCCATGGCTCAGGAGCAGCCTGGGCCACAAAGTCCCAGGACAGGTCCCTCATGAGGGGGCCTTCCAACCTGGGGACATGACCGTTCCCACCACTGACCTCGAATAAGGGGTGACCCCCAGCAGCAGGCGGGCTGCATCCTTGACCCAAAGCCCATGAGTCCCAGGGTTGGACTACAGCACGACAAAGCACCAGCCATGGCTCAGCCTTGACCCAACCAGTTGAAGCCGAGTCGCCACCCACCAGGCTCATGGAAGCGCCACTGGGGTGGCCCATTGCTCAACAGGGTCATTCGCATTTAGTGCCATGAGTGGGGTGTGATCCTTCAATCTCCACAACCTGACCCCATGGGCCTGATTGCCCACCCCTCTCTGGGGAGGGAGAGTCCCCGTGTGATCCCTGTGCCACCCCAGAGCCTCTGCTGTCCTGCTCATTTGTCTTGGGCAGTCTTCAAGGAAAGACTTGCACATGAAGTGTCAGCTGGGAGATGCCCTGCATGAGACTGAAGGAACCCTTTCCAGACTGGACCACTGTCACCCCTGCAGGGCTTCAGGGAAGGCATCGTCTTGGGTCTGATTCCCCAGAAAGCCACCCTCCTGGAGGACAAACCCATCTCTCCACAGTGGAAATTCAGGTCGACTCCCCGAGGAAAGCCTCCTGCCTGAAGGCTAATACTTGGTGACCCCACGCAGCCTGACTCATCACCCATGATGCCACCAGGACCCACTCACCTATGCTGGTCACTGCCAGGGCGTCTGCTGGGCAGAAGAGCTCACTGAAAGACACAGGGGAGAATGGGAGCTCAGGAAGGAGCCACCAAAGTACCCTGCCCCCAGGTAAGGGGAGGGCTGACACTAAGCCCACGTGGTTAGCCTGGGCTGCTTCACGGAGGAGCGCAGAGACAGGGTTGGGCACCCTCTAGATGCCCTCAGAGCCTCCAGGTCTCCAGCCCAAAATACAGTCGACCTCACAGGGAACTCATGTTTCCCAGCATCCTCTTCCAAAATTCTCACCCAGGCTGGGCCTCAGCGTAATCCTATTGAGCATGATTTTTATGTCATCACCTCTCTTCAGACAATATAAGGTTCTCATCATCGACCCAACCCAGGGCACCCCCTCCCCACACACCTATCCAGCAGGACCAAGATGTGCTCACCAAGCTCAATGCAGGAGACCAGGACCCAGGAGGGCCTGAGCTTCAGCTCAACAGGGGTTTGGCTACTGGCCACTGGCCTGGGTCCAGTGGGCACAACGCAAGTCTTCCTCTGGGGTCACCATCTGGAGGGACAGGGGACAGATGTCCAAATGGGGCTTCATGCCTCTGTGCGGGAAAGTGAGGAGGGGGTGCTGGGGCTCACATGCTCTCCCTCCATGGACCCATGTGATGGGATCTATATGAAATAATGACAGTCATGCACCCAGGGAACCCTTGGCCCTCTCTGCCACCAAACCCTCAAAGGACAGAGGAGGCGAGAGACTGGGTTCAGGCAAGATGCCCAGGCTGTGCCATACAGCAGCCCCCGCAGCACCTCCACTGCTTATGGTGGCTCCACTGCATGACTCTGGACCACAACAGAACCCCTAGGCAGGGTCCAAGGTCACCAACCAGCTCACGGCCAACCAAGGAGGCTGGCCCGGATGCCAGGCACTGCCGCTGACCTGGCAGTCCCACAGCCTGCCCCAGTACAGGGAGGATACCCACCCAGGCTCCCTCTCCAAGCACGCACCAGAAATCGCAGTCTGGGGCCCAGGGCCACATGCTTTCTCTGCTGGGTCCTCATCCACATCCCAGACCCCTGTCAAACAGAGCTGGACCACACTTGGCCAATCAGGAGCCACATGGTGCCCCCTCCTTTTCTTGGGCCCAAGACCCTACCACCCTGGAGGTGACCCCATGGCTCAGAAGCAGTCTGGGCAACAAATTCCTGGGACAGGTCCCTCATGAGGGGGCCTTCCAACCTGGGGACGCAACGCTTCCCAGGATTGACCTCGAAGAAAGGGTGACCCCCAGCAGCAGGTGGGCTGCACCTTTGACCCAAAGCCCATAATCCCAGGGCCAGCCCGGAGCACCATGAAGCACCAGCATGGCTCAGCCTTGCCCCAACCAGTTGAAGCCGAGTCGCCACCCACCAGGCTCATGGAGGCGCCACTGGGGTGGCCCATTGCTCAACAGGGTCATTCGCATTTAGTGCCATGAGTGGGGTGTGATCCTTCAGTCTCCACAACCTGACCCCATGGGCCTGATTGCCCACCCCTCTCTGGGGAGGGAGAGTCCCCGTGTGATCCCTGTGCCACCCCAGAGCCTCTGCTGTCCCGCTCATTTGTCTTGGGCAGTCTTCAAGGAAAGACTTGCACAGGAAGTGTCAGCTGGGAGCTGCCCTGCATGAGACTGAAGGAACCCTTTCCAGACTGGACCACTGTCACCCCTGCAGGGCTTCAGGGAAGGCATCGTCTTGGGTCTGATCCCCCAGGAAGCTGCCTTCCTAGAGGACAAACCCATCTCGCCACAGTGAAAATACAGGTCAACTCCCTGAGGAAACCTTCCTGCCTGAAGGCTAATACTTGGTAACCCCACACGCAGCCTGACTCATCACCCATGATGCCGCCAGGATCCACTCACCTATGCTGGTCAATGCCAAGAGTCTGCTGGGCAGAAGAGCTCACTGAAAGACACAGGGGAGAATGGGAGCTCAGGAAGGAGCCACCAAAGTACCCTGCCCCCAGGTAATGGGAGGGCTGACACCAAGCCCACATAGTGAGCCTGGGCTGCCTCACGGTGGAACGCAGAGACAGGGTTGGGCACCCTCCAGATGCCCTCAGAGCCTCCAGGTCTCCAGCCCAAAATACAGTGCTCCTGCCGGGGAACTTGTAATTCCTAGAATCCTCCTCCCATATTCTCACCCAGGCTGGGCCTCAGCGTAATCCTATTGAGCATGATTTTTATGTCATCACCTCTCTTCAGACAATATAAGGTTCTCATCATCGACCCAACCCAGGGCAAACCCCTCCCTGCAAAGTCATCACAGGAACCCAGATGGGCTCACCACAGCTCAGTGCAGGAGACTGGGACACCAGGAGGGTCTGAGCGTCAGTGCACCGGGGGCTGGGCACCTGGCTGATGGACACTGGCCTGGGGCAAGGAGGCCCAAAGCAATTCTTCCTCGGGGCTCACCATCTGAGGGGACAGGTGGAAGACATGGGTCCAAATGGCCTCACCACTCCACACAGAGAAGTGTGCAGGGGGTGCCAGCTCACCTATCCTTGCCCTCCATGGACCCATGTGATGAGATCTGTGGGGAACACGGACTCATCATGAACGCAGGGGACCCTTGACCCTCCCCATCGCCGAACCCTGGAAGGACAGGGCAGGTGGGTCACTGTGCTCAGACCAGAACCCCCGGGCCGCACCCTACCATGGGCCACACCCTACGGCAGGCCCAGAGAGCACTTCCCCTGCCGACATCGGTTCCCCCACATGACCCCAGGGCCGCACCAGGACCACTGGGCCTGGGTCAGGGCCAACCAGCTCATGGCAAACCAAGGAGGCTGGCCTGGATGCCATGTGCCACTGCAGATGTGGCACTCACACAGCCTGCCCCTGGGCATGGAATGCACCCATCCAGGTGACCTCTACAAGCTCACACAGGAAATCACATCCTGGGTCCCAAGGGCCATGTGTCTTCTCTGGTGGGTCCCCATTCATGTACCACACGCCTCCCAAATACAGAGCCAGGCCACACTCGGCCAATCAGGGGACACATGATGTCCTCTCCTTTCTTTCGGCTCAAAAACATGCCACCCTGGCGGTGACCCCATGTCTCAGAAGCATCCAGGGCAGCAAATTGCCAGGACAGGACCCTTTACAGTGGGACTTCCCCAACACGATCCCACTCTTCCGGCCACTCCACTTCAACGAGGGGTGACCTTTAGCGGGCTGCGGGCTGCACTCTTGGCCCAAAGCCCACGATTCCCAGGGCCAGTCTGCAGCACCACCAGGTGAAGGCAAGAGGTCAGCCTTGACCCAACCCCACTGAGGCCACACTGCCCCAACCAGGCTCAAGGAGGCACTGCTGGGATGGCCACTTGCTCAACAATGTCGGTCCATTCTGGGCCATGGGTTGGGACCAATCCTTGAATCTTCACAGCCCAACTCCATAAGCCTGATCACCCTCACCCTACCCCTCCACAAGCCTCGGGCACCAAGAGCTCCCACATAACACCTGTGGCCCCCGCAGATACTGCAGACCCCCTCATGTGGCCTGGGAAGTCCTTCAGGCCTGACTCATGCAATGAGTCTCAGCTAGGACATGCACTGTGTTGGGTTGAAGGAACCCTTTCCTGCCTGGACCGCCATCATTTCTGCATAGCTCCAAGGAATGCGTCCTCCTAGGGACAGATGTCCAAGGAAGCTGCCCTCTGGAGAAACCATCCATCCCTGGTGGTTTCAGGTTGGGTCCCTGAGGAATCCCTCTTGGCCTGAAGGGTGACCCTCAGTGACCCAAAGCTGCCTGGCTCATGGCCCATGGCCCCAGCAGGATCCACTTACCTATCCCACTCAAGGCCAGGGGCTCATGTGGACAGAAGAGTTCACTGAAAGACACACGGGAGAACCGGGGCTCAGGAAGGAGCCTCCAATATGCGCCGCCCATGGGGAACTGAAGGGCCGACACCAAGCCCACACAGGGAGCTGGGGCTGCCTCAAGGACGAGTGCAGAGACAGGGTTGGGCATTCCTGAGATGCCCTTCAGGGCCTCCAGGTCTCCAGTCCAAAATACCGTGGCCCTGCTGGGACCATGGGATCCCAGCGTCCTCTTCCAAAATTCTCCCCTAGGCTGGGCCTCAGCGTAATCCTATTGAGCATGATTTTTAAGTCATCACCTCTCTTCAGGACAATATAAGGTTCTCATCATCGACCCAACCCAGGGCACCCCCTTCCCCACACACGCATCCAATGGGACCCAGATGTGCTCACCACAGCTCAGTGCAGGAGACCAGGGTGCCAGGAAGGGCCTGAGCTTTAGTGCACCAAAGTTGGGCACCTGGATGATGACCACCGGCCTGGGGCCAGCGACCCAAAGGCAAGTCTTCCTCTGGGGTCACCACCTGGGGGGACGGGAGGACATGTGTCCAACCAGGGGCTCAGGCCTCCAGACAGGGAAGGGGGTGGAGGATGCCAGCTCACACTTGCTCTCTCTCTGTGGACCCATGTGATGAGATCCATGTGAAACACTGATGTGTCTCAGACGTGGGGGACCCTTTGCCCCCCAACCACTGAACCATGGAAGGACAGGGCCGACAGGTTCCTGGGCTTGGGCAAGACACCCGGGCTGTGCCCTACTGCAGGCCTCTCAAGCACCTCCCTCGCCCATGCTGGCTTTCCTCATGACCCCGGGCGGCACCGGGACCCCTGGGCAGGGGCCAGGGACACCAACCAGCTCACAGCGAACCCAGGATGCTGGCCCGGACGCCATGCGCCACTGCCAACCCGGAAGTTGCACAGCCTGCCCTGTGCATGGAGGGCAAGCACCCAGTCCTCTCCTCAAGGTGCACTGGAAATCGCAGCCTGGGGCTTCAGGGCCACAAGCTTTCTCTGGTGGGTCCCAATCCATGCCCCACACAACACCTCCCACACACAGAGCGGGGCCACACTCAGTCAACCGGGAGACATATGGTGTCTTCTCCTTTCCTTGGGCCCAAGACACCGCCACCCTGGAGATGACCTCATGGCTCAGAAGCAGCCTGGAGTGCAAATTTCCAGGAAAGTTCCTTCCACAGCAGGCTTTCCCACCTCAGGAGGATACCCTCCCCGCCACTCACCCATAAGGAAAGGGTGACCCTCCAGCGGGACACGGGCTGCACCCTTGGCCCAAAGCCCACAAGTCTCATGGCTGGATTGCACCACCATCAGCGACTGGCCAGAGCTAGTCTGGACCCTACCTCAGAGAAAAAGCGCCACCCCCACATGGCTCAAAGAGGTGTTACTGGGAGGGCCCATTGCTTAACAGGGTCGGTCCCATTGAGGGTCATGGGTTTGGTGCAATCCTTGAATCTCCACGGCCCGACCCAACGGGCCAAATTGCCCACCCTTCTCTGGGGTTGGAGAGCCCCTGTGAGATGCCCATGGTGCCCCAGAGCTCTTGTGGCCCTGTCATGTGGCTTGGCCATCCTAGAGGCCTGACCCGAGCACCAAGGCTGAGCTGGGCACTGCCCAGCTCCACTGCCCTGGGTGGGGCTGAGGAAACCCTTTCCTGCCTGGACCACTGCCACCCCTGCAGAGCTTCAGAGAAGGCCTCTGCCTTGTGTCCACTTCCCAAGGAAGCCTCCCTTCTGGAGAACACATCCCCAGTCGGGATTCAGATCGGCTCCTGAGGAAACCCAGGTGGCCTGAGGGCTGACCCTCGGGGACCCCATGCTGCTTGGCTAATGGCCCATGACACGAGCATATCCACTCACCTATGCCAGTCAATCCCAGGGGGTCTGCTGGTGGGAAGAGCTCACTGAAAGACACCGAGAAGAATTTGACTCAGGAAGGAGCCGCCAATGTGTCCCACCCCCGCCCGGGGAAGCTTAGCGCGGACACCAAGCCCACACAGGAAGCCTGGAATGCCTAATGAAGGAGCACAGACAGGGTTGGGCACCCCTCCATGAGATGACCTTCAGGGCCCTGAAGTCTCCAGCCTAAAATACAGTGGTCCTGCCAGGGACCTTGTGATTCCCAGCATCCTCTTTCAAAATTCTCACCTAAGTTGGGCCTCAGCGTAATCCTATTGAGCATGATTTTTAAGTCATCACCTCTCTTCAGGACAATATAAGGTTCTCATCATCGACCCAACCCAGGACACCCCCATCCCCACTCACATATCCAGAGGGACCCGGATGGGCTCACCATACCTCAGTGCAGGAGACCAGGATGACAGGAAGGACCTAAGCTTTAGCACACGGGAGTCTGAGCACGTGATTGACAGACACTGGTCCAGGGCCAAAGGGCTCAAGGCAATTCTTCCTCTGTGCTCACCATCTGGAGGGACAGGGGAAAGGTGTCCAAACAGGGTCTTAAGATTCCATGCAGGAATGCAGGGAGGGGCTGCTGGCTACACATGCTCTACCTCCATGGACTCATGTGATGGGATCCATGTGAAATAGGGACAGTTATGGACCCGGGGAACCCTTGTACCCACCACTGAACCCTGGAAGGACAGGACAGCCGAGTAACTAGGCTCAAGCAAGATGCCCAGGCTGTGCCCTACCGCAGGCCCCTGGAGCACCTCCACTGTCCAAGCCAGCTTCCCTGCACTTCCTGGGCTGCACTGTGACCCCTGGGTAGGAGCCAGGATCACCAACCAGCTCAGGCAAACCAAGGAGGCTTGCTCTGAAGCTAGGCGCCACTGTAGACCTGGCAGACGCACAGCCTGCCCCTGCATGGGGAGGGTGCACAGACTCCCTTTCCAAGCACGCACTGAAAATCACAGCCTGGGGCCACCCTCATGTGGCCTGGGCAGTCCTCAAGGCCAGACCCTAGCGCCCAGTCTCAGCTGGGAGCTGCCCTGCGTGGGACTAATGGAATCCTTTCTTGCCTGGACCAATGTCACTCCTGCAGCGCTTCAGGGAAGGTGTCTTCCTTGGGTCAGATCCCTCCTGTCCTGAAGGATGACCCTCAGGGACCCCATGTGGCCTGGTCCATGGCCCATGAGCCTAGCAGGATCCACTCACCTATGCCGCTCGAGGCCAGGGGTCCTCCTGGGTGAAAGAGTTCACTGAAAGACACAAGGGGAGAAAAGGGGCTCAGGGATGAGCCCCTCACATGCACCGCCAGGGGAATCGGAGTACTGACACGAAGCTTGCATAGAGAGCCTGGACTGCTTCACGGAGGAACGTAGAGACAGGTTTGGGCCCTCTCCGGGTGCCCTTCAAGGACTCCAGGTCTCCAGCCCAAACTACAGTGGCCCTGTTGGGGACCTAGGGATCCCAGCATCCTCTTCCAAAATTCTCATCTAGGCTGGGCCTCAGCGTAATCCTATTGAGCATGATTTTTAAGTCATCACCTCTCTTCAGAACAATATAAGGTTCTCATCATCGACCCAACCCAGGGCACCCCCTCCCTGCTTAGGCATCCAGTGGCACCCCGATGGGCTCACCCAAGCTCAATGCAGGAGACCAAGGTGACAGGAAGGGCCAGAGCTTCAGTGCAACAGGGGCTAGGCACCTGGCTGATGGACCCTGGCCCGGGGACAGTGGGCCCAACACGAGTCCTCATCCGGGGTCACCATCTCGAGGAACAGGAAGAGGACAGGTGTCCAAACACAACCTCACCCCTCCATGTGGGCAGAAGGTGGGGTGTGCCAGCTCAGGGATGCTCGCTTTCCATGGACCATGTGATGAGATCCATGTGGAATACTGGCCCGTCACAGACGCAGGGCACCTGATGTTCTCTCCACCACTGAACCCTGAAACGACAGGACAGGTAGGTCACTGGGCTCAGGCTACAAGCCAGGGCTGCATCCTACTGCAGGCCACACAAACACCTCCACTACACATGCCAGCTCCCCTGCATGACACCAGGGTCACTCCAGGACTACCGGGCACAGGCCAGGGCCACCAACCAGTTCATGGTCAACCAAATAGGCTGGCCCGGATGCCTGATGCTGTTGCAGAGCTGGCAGTCACATAGCCAGTCCCTGTGCATGGTGGGCACCCACCCACGTGCTGTATCCAAGCATGTACTGGAAATCACAACCTGGGGTCCCAGGGCCATGTGCTTTCTCTGGTGAGTCTCCATCCATGCCCTCACACCTCACAAACACACAGCCTGGCCACACCGGACTAATCAGGGAGAACAGTGTCTTCTCCTTTCCTCGGGCCCAGGACCCCACCACACTGGTGACTCCATGGCTCAGAAGCAGCATGGGCAGCAAATTTCCAGGACCAGACCCTCAACAGCGGGCCTTCCCACTCCAGGAGGCCACCCTTCCCGACATTAGCCCACTGGGAAGGGATAACTTCGAGCCACAGGGAAGGGGTGACTTCCAGCGGGATGTGGGCTGCACCCTTGGCCCAAAGCCCATGAGTCCAAGGGCTGGACTGCAGCACCACCAGGCGCCAGCCAGAGCTCAGCCTTGACGTAAACCCAGTGAAACAGCACCGACGCCCTTCCGGCTTGAAGAGGCCCATGGGATGGCCCATTGCTTAACGGGGGGGTCCCATTCAGGGCCATGTGTCAGGTGCAATCCTTGAATCTCAACAGCTCAACTCCATGGGCCCGATCACCCACCTTTCTCCAGGGACAGAGAGCACCTGTGGGATCCCTATGGCACCCCAGAGCTCCTGTGGCCCCCCTCATACGGCCAGGACAGTCCTCGAGTCCAGACGCAAGCACCGAGACTCAGCTGGGAGCTGCCGTGGGTGGAACTGAAGGAACCCTTTCCTGCCTGGACCACCGTCACCACTGCAGAGCTTCAGGGAAGGCATCCCCCTTGGTTCCTGTTCCCCAGGAAGCCACCCTCCTGGAGAACCCATCTCTTCCCAGTGGGGATTCAGGTTGGCTCCCTGAGGAACCCTTCTTTCCCAAAGGCTGACCCTTGATGACCCCACGCGGCCTGGCTCAAGGCCCATGATACAAGCCACTCACCTATGCCAGTGAATGCCAGGGGGCCCTCCCATGTGGAAGAGCTCACTGAAAGACACAAGGGGAGAACGGGGCTCAGAAACGAGCTTCCACTGTGCCTCAACCTGGGGAACTGGAGGGCCGACACCAAGCCCGCACAGGGAGCCCAGGCTGCCTCATGGAGGAGCTCAGAGACAGGGTCGGGCACCCCCAAGATGCCCTTCACGCCCTCCAGGTCTCCGGCCAAAAATATAGGGGCTCTCCTGGGGACCTCCGGATCCCAGCATCCTCTTCCAAAACCCTCACCTAGACTGGGCCTCAGTGTAATCCTATTGAGCATGATTTTTAAGTCATCACCTCTCTTCAGACAATATAAGGTTCTCATCATCGACCCAACCCAGGGCAACCCCCTCCCTGCACATGCATCCAGCAGGATTCAGATGTGCTCACCACAGCTCAGTGCAGGAGACCAAGGTGCCAGGAAGGGCCTGATCTTCAGTGCACCAGAGGCTGGGCACCTGGCTGACGGACGCTGACCTGGGGCCATTGGGCCCAGTGCAAAGTCTTCCTCCGGGCTCAACATCTGGGGAAACAGTAGGACAGGTGTGCAAACACAACCTCACCCGTCCTTGGGGGCAGAAGGTGGGGTGTGTCGGCTGAGGGGATGCTCACCCTCCATGGACCCATGTGATGGGATGCACGTGGAACACTGGCCCATCATGGACTCAGGGCACCCAATGCTCTCTCAGCCACCGAACCCTGGAAAGACAGGATAGGCAGGTCACTGGGCTCGGGCAAGAAGCCCCGACTGTGTCCTACTGCAGGTCCCATGAGCACCTCCACTGCCCATGCTGGCTCCCCTACAGGACCCCAGGGTCATACCAGATGTACTGGGCACAGGCCAGGGCTACCATTCAGCTCACAGCCAACCAAGGAGGCTGGTCCGGGTGCCAGATGCTGCTGCAGACCTGCAAGTCACATAGCCTATCCCTGTGCACTGTGGGCACCCACCCAGGTGCCCTATCCCAGCATGAAATGGAAATCGCAACCTGGGGTCCCAGGGCCACATGCTTTCTCTGGTGGGTCCCCATCCATGCCCCACGCACCTCCTAAACACAGAGCAGGACCACACTCAGCTAATCGGGGACACATGGTGACTTCTCCTTTTCTTGGGCCCAAGACCCGCTACCCTGGAGGTGACCCCGTGGCTCAGAAGCAGCATGGGCAGCATATTCTAGGGACAAGACCCTTGACAGCACGCCTTCCACCTCAGGAGGCCACCCTTTCCGACACTTGCCAATGGGGAGACTCTTGCCAGTGGGGAAGGGGTGACTTCTAGCCACAGGAAAGGGGAGATCCCCAGTACAGGGGATCCTTTAGACACAGAGCTGACCCCTTGGCCTAAAACTAACGAGCCCATGACTGGACAATAGCACCACCAGGCACCGGCCAGAGCTCAGCCTTGACCCAAACCTAGGGAAACAGCACCGCCCCCTTCAGGCTCAAAGAGGTGCCCTAGGATGGCACATTGCACAACAGGGTCGGTCCTATTCAGGGCAATAACTTGTGTGTGATTCTTGAATCTCTGCAGCTCGAATCCACCTTTCTCCGGGGATGGAGAGATCCTGTGTGACCCCATGGCATCCTGAAGCCCCTGTGGCCCCCCTCATGTGGCCTGGTCAGTCGTCAAGGCCAGACCAGTGCACTGAGACTCAGCTGGGAGCTCCCCTATGTGAGACTGAAGGAACCCTTTCCTGCCTGGACCACCATCATCCCCACAGGGCTGCAGGGAAGGCATCCTCCTTGGGTCTGATTCCCAGAAAAGCAGCCCTCTTGGAGGACCAACCCACCCCTCCATGGTGCGGATTCAGGTCGGCTGCCCATGGAAACCCTCCTGTCTCAAAGGTGGACCCTCGGTGACCCCTCGCTGCTGATGACCCATGACCCCAGCAGGACCACTCACCTATGCCAGTCAATGCCTCGGGGCCCCACCTAGCCAGACGAGCTCACTGAAAGACACAAGGGAGAATGGGGGCTCAGGGAACCGGAGCCCAAGCCCACACAGCGAACCTGGGCTGCCTCGAGGAGGAGCGCAGAGACAGGGTTGGGCCTCTCAGAGATGCCGTTCAGAGCCTCAAGGTCTCCTGCCTAAAATACAGTGGCCATGCCAGGGAGCTCGGGATCCCAGCATCCTCTTCCAAAATTCTCCCCTAGGCTGGGCCTCAGTGTAATCCTACTGAGCATGATTTTTAAGTCATCACCTCTCTTCAGGACAATATAAGGTTCTCATCATTGACCCAACCCAGTACACCCCCTCCCTGCACATGTATCCAGAGGGACCCAGATGTGCTCACCACAGCTCAGTGCAGGAGACCAGGGCGCCAGGAAGGGCCTGAGCTTCAGCTCACCAGGGGCTGAGCACCTGGCTGAGAGACACTGGCCCGGGGCCAGCAGACCCAACGCATGTCTTCCTCTGGGGTCACCATCTGGAGGGGTGGAGGACAGGTGTAGATATATGGCCTCACACCTCCATGCACAAAAGTGGACAGGGGGTGCTGGCTAACACACGCTCTCCCTCCATGGACTCAAGAGATGGGATCCCTATAAACAGTGACGGTCAAGAACGCGGGGAACCCTTGGCCCTCCTTGCCACGGAAACCTGAAAGGACAGGGCAGGCGGGTCACAGGATTTGAGCAAGATGTCCAGGATGCACCCTATTGCAGGCTCCTGGAGCACTTCCACTGCCCACACCAGCTCCCCCACATGACTCTGTGCCACAACGGGACCACTGGGCAGGGCCGGGACCACCAACCAGCTCACAGCAAACCAAGTAGGCTGACCTGAATGCTACGTGCCACAGCAGACACCCTCTACAAGCTCACACCAGAAATCATATCCTGGAGCCCCAGGGCCACGTGCCTTCTCTGATGGGTCCCCATTCATGCACCACATACCTCCAAACGCAGAGCTGGGCCATGCTCAATCAATCAGGGACACATGATGTCCTTGCCTTTCCTTCGGCTCAAGACCCCGCCACCCTGGAGGTGACCCCATGACTTAGAAGCAGCCTGGGCAGCAAATTGCCGGCACAGGACCCTTGACAGCATGCTTTCCATCACAGGTTGCCATCCTTCTGGCCACTCCACTTCGGGGAGGGGTGACCTATAGCTGGACGCAGGCTGCACCCTTGGCCCAAAGCCCACGATTCCCAGGGCCAGCCTGCAGCACCACCAGGTGAAGGCCAGAGCTCAGTCTTGACCCAAACCCACTGGGGCCACACCGCCCCCACCAGGCTCAAGGAGGCACCACTGGGATGGCCCATTGCTCCACAGGTCAGTCCCATCAGGGCCATGGGTTAGGCCCAGTCCTTGAATCTTCACGGACTGACTCCATAAGCCCGATCACCCACACCCTGCCCCTTTGCAAGCCTCGGGGACCGAGGGCTCCCGCAAAACACCCATTGCCCCCAGTGACCCTGTGGACCCCCTCATGTGGCCTGGAAAGCCCTCCAGGCCTGACTTGTGCACTGAGTCTCAGCTAGAACACGCACTGCGTTGAGTTGAAGGAACCCTCTCCTGTTTGGACCTCTGTCATCTCTGCACGGCTTCAGGGAAGGCATCCTTCTTGGGACCAATTACTAAGGAAGCTGTCCTCCTGAAGAAACCATCCATCCCTGGTGGGTTTCAGATGGGCTCCCTGAGGAATCCCTCGTGGCCTGAAGGGTGACCCTCAGTGACCCAAAGCGACCTGGCTCATGGTCCATGACCCCAGCAGGATCCACTTACCTATCCCACTTAAGGCCAGGGGTCCCCCTGGGCAGAAGAGCTCACTGAAAGACACAGACACAGGGGAGAACAGGGGCTCAGGAAGGAGGAGCCTCCAGTGTGCCTCAACCCCAGGGAACTAGAGGGCCGACACCAAGGCCGCACAGGGAACCTGGGCTGCCTCACGGAGGAGTGCAGAGATAGGGCTGGGCACCCCAAGATGAACTTCAGGGACTCCAGGTCTCCAGCCCAAAAATACAGCGGCCCTGCCAGGGACCTTGGCATCTCAGCATCCTCTTCCAAAATTCTCACCTAGGCTGGGCCTCAGCGTAATCCTATTGAGCATGATTTTTAAGTCATCACCTCTCTTCAGGACAATTTAAGGTTCTCATCATTGACCCAACCCAGGGCACCCTCCTTCCCACACGTGCATCCAGCTGGACCCAGATGTGCTCACCACAGCTCAGGGCAGGAGACCAGGGCATCAGGAAGGGCTTGAGCTTAAGTGCACCAAGGGCTGGACACCTGGCTGATGGACACTGGCCTGGGGCCAGTGGTCCCAAAGCAAGTCTTCCTTTGCAGTCACCATCTGGGGGGACAGGAGGAGGACATGTGTCCAACCAGGGGCTCGGGCCTCCACACGGGGAAGGGGGTGGGGGGTGCTAGCTCACACATGCTCTCTCTCTGTGGACCCATGTGATAGGATCCATGGAAAACACTGATGTGTCATGGATGGGGGGGACCCTTTGCCCTCCCAGCCACTGAACCATGGAAAGACAGGGCAGGTGGATTCCTGGGTTCAGGCAAGACACCTGGGCTGCGCCCTACTGCAGGCCCCTCGAGCACCTCCATTGCCCACGCCAGTTCCCCTGCACAACCCCGGGTAGCACCTGGACCTGGGCAGGGGCCATGGACACCAACCAGCTCACGGCGAACCAAGGACGCTGGCCCGGACACCACGGGCTGCTGCCTACCTGGCAGTTGCACAGCCTGCCCTGTGCATGGAGGGCACCCACCCTCCTTTCCTCAAGGTCCACTGGAAATCACAGCCTGGGGCTCCAGGGCCACAAGCTTTCTCTGGTGGGTCCCAATCCACGCCCCACACAATACCTCCCACACACAGAGCGGGGCCACACTCAGTCAACCGGGAGACATACGGTGTCTTCTCCTTTCTTTGGGCCTAAGACCCTGACCTCTTGAGTTGTCCTGATGGCTGAGAAGCAGCCTGGACTGCAAATTTCCAGGAAAGGTCCTTCCACTGTGGACCTTCCCACCTCAGGAGGCCACCATTACCGCCACTCGCCCACAAGGAAGGGGTGACCCCCAGTGGGATACGGGCTACAGCCTTGGCCCAAAGCCCACAAGTCCCAGAGACAGACTGGACCACCATCAGGCACTGGCCACAGCTAGTCTTGACCCAACCTCAGAGAAACAGCGCCGCCTCTCACATGGCTCAAAGACATGCCACTGGGAGGGTCCACTGCTTATAGGGTCGGTCCCATTGAGGGTCATGGGTTTGCTGCAGTCTATGAATCTCCATGGCCCGACTCCACGGACTGAATCGCCCACCCCTCTCCAGGGTTGGAGAGTCCCCATGAGATGCCCGTGGTGCCCCAGAGCCCTTGTTGCCCCCCTCATGTGTCCTGGCCATCTTAGAGGCCTGACCCAAGCACCAAGTCTGAGCTGGGCACTACCCTGCATGGGGCTGAGAAAACCCTTTCCTGCCTGAACCACTGCCACCCCTGCAGGGCTTCAGAGAAGGCCTCTGCCTTGTGTCCAATTCCCAAGGAAGCCTCCCTGCTGGAGGACACATCCCCAGTCGATTCAGGTCGACTCCTGAGGAAACCCAGGTGGCCTGAGGGCTGACCCTCAGGGACTGCCCACCGCTTGGCTCACGGCCCATGACACCAGCAATGTCCACTCACCTATGCTGGTCAATCCTAGGGGGTCTGCTTGGCGGAAGAGCTCACTGAAAGACACCGAGGATAATGGGGCTCAGGAAGGAGCCACCAACCTGTCCCGCCCCCAGGGAAGCTGAGCACAGACACCAAGCCCACACAGGAAGCCTGGTGTGCCTAATGGAGGAGCACAGACAGGGCTGGGCTCCTGCATGAGATGCCCTTTAGGGCCTCGAAGTCTCCAGCCTAAAATACAGTGGCCCTGCCAGGGACCTCAGGATTCTAGTGTCCTCTTCCAAAATTCTCACCTAGGCTGGGCCTCAGCGTAATCCTATTGAGCATGATTTTTAAGTCATCACCTCTCTTCAGAACAATATAAAGTTCTCATCATCGACCCAACCCAGGGCACCCCCTCCCTGCTTAGGCATCCAGTGGCACCCCGATGGGCTCACCCAAGCTCAATGCAGGAGACCAAGGTGACAGGAAGGGCCAGAGCTTCAGTGCAACAGGGGCTAGGCACCTGGCTGATGGACCCTGGCCCGGGGACAGTGGGCCCAACACGAGTCCTCATCTGGGGTCACCATCTCGAGGAACAGGAAGAGGACAGGTGTCCAAACACAACCTCACCCCTCCATGTGGGCAGAAGGTGGGGTGTGCCAGCTCAGGGATGCTCGCCTTCCATGGACCATGTGATGAGATCCATGTGGAATACTGGCCCGTCACAGACGCAGGGCACCCAACGCTGTCTCCACCACTGAACCCTGAAACGACAGGACAGGTAGGTCACTGGGCTCAGGCTACAAGCCAGGGCTGCATCCTACTGCAGGCCACACAGGCGCCTCCACTACACATGCCAGCTCCCCTGCATGATACCAGGGTCATCCCAGGACTACCGGGCACAGGCCAGGGCCACCAACAGTTCATGGTCAACCAAGGAGACTGGCCCGGATACCTGATGCTGCTGCAGAGCTGGCAGTCACATAGCCAGTCCCTGTGTATGGTGGGCACCCACCCACGTGCTGTATCCAAGCATGTACTGGAAATCACAACCTGGGGTCCCAGGGCCATGTGCTTTCTCTGGTGAGTCTCCATCCATGCCCTCACACCTCACAAACACACAGCCTGGCTGCACTCAACTAATCGGAGGGCACAGTGTCTTCTCCTTTCCTCGGGCTTAGGACCTCACCACACTGGAGGTGTCTTCAGGATTCAGAAGCAGCATGGGCAGCAAATTTCCAGGACCAGACCCTCAATAGCGGGCCTTCCCACTTCAGGAGGCCACCCTTCCTGACACTAGCCCACTGGGAAGGGATAACTTCCAGCCACAGGGAAGCGGTGACTTTCAGTGGGACACAGGCTGCCCCCTTGGCCCAAAGCCCATGAGTCCAAGGGCCGGACTGCAGCACCACCAGGCGCCAGCCAGAGCTTAGCCTCGATCTAACCCCAGTGAAACAGCACCGCCCCCTGTCAGGCTCGAAGAGGCCCATGGGTTGGCCCATTGCTCAACAGGGTGGGTTCCATTCAGGGCCATGTGTCAGGTGCGATACTTGAATCTCCACAGCTCAACTCCATGGGCCTGATCACCCACCTTTACCTTTCTCCAGGGACAGAGAGCTCCTGTGTGACCCCCAAGGCACCCCAGAGCCCCTGTGGCCCCCACATATAGTCAGGACAGTCCAGATGCAAGCCCCGAGACTCAGCTGGGAGCTGCTGTGGGTGGAACTGAAGGAACCCTTTCCTGCCTGGACCACCGTCACCCCTGCAGGGCTTCAGGGAAGGCATCCCCCTTGGTTCCTGTTCCCCAGGAAGCCACCCTCCTGGAGAACCCATCTCTTCCCAGTGGGGATTCAGGTTGGCTCCCCAAGGAAACCCTTCTTTCCCGAAGGCTGACCCTTGGCGACCCCACGCAGCCTGGCCCATGGCCCATGATGCCAGTTGGATCCACTCACCTATGCCAGTCAATGCCAGGGGGCCCTCCTGGAAGAGCTCACTGAAAGACACAAGGGGAGCATGGGGCTCAGGGAGCTGCCACCAACGTGTCCCACCCCAGGGAACCACAGTGCCAACAGCAAGCCTGCACAGGGAGCCTGGGCTGCCTCACGGAGGAGCGCAGAGACAGGGTTGGGCCCCCCCAGTGCCCTTCAGGGTTGCCAGATCTCCATCCCAAAATATAGTAGCTCTGCCAGGGATCTCAGGATCCCAGCATCCTCTTCCAACATTCTCACCTAGGCTGGGCCTCAGCGTAATCCTATTGAGCATGATTTTTAAGTCATCACCTCTCTTCAGGACAATATAAGGTTCTCATCATTGACCCAACCCAGGGCACCCCCCTCCCCACACATGCATCCAGCAGGACCCAGATGGACTCACCACAGCTCAGTGCAAGAGACCAGAGAGCCAGGAAGGGCCAAAACTTCAGTGCGCCAGGGGCTGGGCACCTGGCTGACAGACACTGGCCCTGGGCCATTGGGCCCAATGCAAGTCCTCCTTCAGGGTCACCATCTGGGGGACAGAGGAAAGTGTCTGAACAGAACCTCATGCCTCCATGCGGGAAAGGAGGCAGGGGGTGCTAGCTCACACATGCTCTCCCTCCATGGACCCAGGTGATGGGATCCATGTGAAACAGTGTTGGTCATGGACGCGGGGGACCCTTGGTCTTCCCTGCCACTGAACCCTGGAAAACAGAGCAGGCTGGTCACTGGGCTTGGGCAAGATGCCCAGGCTGTGCCCTAATGCAGGCCCCTGGAGCACTTCTACTCCCCATGGTGGCTCCCTTGCAATTCCAGGGCTGCATCATGACCCCTGGGTGGGACCATGGCCACTATCCAGCTCAGGCCCACCAAGGAGGCTGGCCCTGAAGGCAGGCACTGCTGCAGACCTGGCAGACGCACAGCCTGCCCCTGCACGGGGAGGGGGCCTACCCAGGCTCCCTCTCCAAGCACACACTGCAAATAGCAGCCTGGGACCCAGCCTCATGTGGCCTGGGCAGTCCTCAAGGCCAGATCCTAGTGCCCAGTCTCAGCTGGGAGCTGCCCTGTGTGGGACCAATGGAACCCTTCCTGCCTAGACCAATGTCACTCCTGTAGCGCTTCAGGGAAGGTGTCCTTGGGTCAGATTCCCAAGGAGGCGGCCCTCCTGGAGAACCAATCCCTCCCCAGTGGGGATTCAGGTTGGCTCCCTGAGGAATCCGTCCCATCCTGAAGGCTGACCCTCAGTGATCCCACGTGGCCTAGTCCATGGCCCATGAGCCCAGCAGGATCCACTCACCTATGCCACTCAAGGCCAGGGGTCCTCCTGGGCGGAAGAGCTCACTGAAAGACACAAAGGGAGAATGGGACTTCAGGGATGAGTCACCCACGTGCCCCGCCTCAGGGAACCAGAGCATTGACAGCAAGCCCGCACAGGGAAACTGGGCTGCCTCACAGACGAGCGCAGAGACAGGGTTGGGGCCCCTGCAGATAACCTTCGGGACCTCCAGGTCTCCAGCCCCAAATGCCTCCTGCCGGGGATCCCAGTGTCCTCTTCCAAAATTCTCACCTAGGCTGGGCCTCAGCGTAATCCTATTGAGCATGATTTTTAAGTCATCACCTCTCTTCAAGAAAATATAAGGTTCTCATCATTGACCCAACCCAGGGCACCCCACTCCCGACACAAACATCCAGCGGGACCTGGATGTGCTCACCACAGCTCAGTGCAGGAGACCAGAGTGCCAGGGAGGGCCGAGCTTCAGCGCACTGGGGACTGGGCACCTGGCTGATGGACACTGGCCCAGGGACAGCGGACCCAAGGCAAGTCTTCCTCCAGGCTCACCGTCTGGGGGACAGGAAGACATGTGTCCAAACATGGCCTCACGCCTCCATAGGGGGATGGTGGTGGGTGGTGCTCATGCATGCTGTCCCTCCATGGACCCATGTGATGGGAACACTGACCCATTACAGACACAGGGGACCCTTGGCCCTCCCCATCACCGCACCCTAGGTCAGGGCAGGTGGGTCACCGAGCTCCCACAAGACACCTGGGCTGCGCTCTATTGCAGGCCCCACAAGCACCTCCATTACCCACATCAGCTCCCCCACAGGACCCCTGGGCCACTCCGAGACCACTGGGCACAGGCGAGGGCAACCAACCTGCTCATGGCCCACCAAGGGGGCTGACCTGGAAGCCACATGCCACCGCAGACCTGGTAGTTGCATAGCCTGTGCCTGGGAGTGGAGGGCACCCACCCAGCGTTCTCTCCAAGTGTGCATGGGAAATCGCAACCTGTGACCCCGGGCCACATGTGTTCTCTGATGGGTCCCCATCCATGCCCTACACACCTCCCAAACACAGAGCCGAGCCACATTCGGCCAATCGGGGAACACATGGTATCTTCTCCTTTCCTCGGGCTCAAGACCCCACCACCCTGGAGGTGAGTCCATGGATCAGAAGCAGCCTGGGAAGCAAACTTCCAGGACAGGACCCTTGACAGCGGGCCTTCCCACCTAAGGATGCCAGCTTTCCGCTAGTTGCCCATGGGGAATGGGTGACCACCAGCAGGATGCAGGCTGGCCCTTTTGCCCAAAGCCAGCAAGTCCCAGGGCCAGCCTGCAGCACTACCAAGTACCGGCCAGAGCTCAGCCTTGACCCAACCCCCTTGAAGCCGCATCGCCCCCCACTAGGCTCACAGGCACCACTGGGATGGCCCATTGCTCAAAGGCTCGGTCCCATTCAGGGTCCTAGGTGGGGCCCACTCCTTGAATCTCCAAAGGCCTGACCCCATGGACTCGATCGCTCACCCGTCTCTGGGGAAGGAGAGCTCCTGTGTGACCCCTGTGGTGCCCTGGAGCTCCTATGGACCCCCTCATGTGGCCTGGGCAGTCCTCAAGGCCAGACCTGCCCACTGAGTCTCAGCTGGGCACTGCCCTGGGTGGGGTTGAAGGAATCCTTTGCTGCCTGGACCACCATCACCGCTGCAAGGCTTTAGAGAAGATAACCTCCTTGGGTCAGATTCCCAAGGAAGCCGCCCTCCTGGAGAACCTAGCCCTCCTCAGTGGGGATTCAGGTCAGGTCGGCTCCCTAAGGAAACCCTCCTGTCCCAAAGGCTGACACTTGGTGACCCCACCAGCCTGGCTCATGGCCCATGACCCCAGCAGGATCCACTCACCTATGCCAGTCAATGCCAGGGCGCTGCCTGGGCGGAAGAGCTCACTGAAAGACACAGGGGAGAATGCAGGTCAGGGAGGAGCCACCCACATGCCCTGCCCCTAGGGAACCAGAGCCCCAGCATATGCCCACACAGGGAGCTTGGACTGCCTCATGGAGGAGCTCAGAGCCAGGCTTGGGTTCCCTCCAGATGCCCTTCAGGGCTTCTAGGTCTATAGCCCAAAATACAGGGGCCCTGTCGGGGGCCTCTGGATCCCAGCATCCTCTTCCAAAATTCTCACCTAGACTGGGCCTCAGCGTAATCCTATTGAGCATGATTTTTAAGTCATCACCTCTCTTCAAGAAAATATAAGGTTCTCATCATCGACCCAATCCAGGGCACAACCCTCCCCGCGCATGTATCCATCAGGACCCGGATGAGCTCACCACAGCTCAGTGCAGGAGGCCAGGGCGCCGGGAAGGGCCTGAGCTTCAGCGCACCAGGGGCTGGCACCTGGCTGATGGACACTGGCCCAGGGCCATTGGGCCCAACGCAAGTCTTCCTCCGCGGTCACCATCTGGGGGGACAGGAGTAGGACAGGTGTCCAAACAGAACCTCATGAAGGCAGTAGGGTGCGCAGACTCAGGTATGCTCTTTCTCCATAGACCCACTTGCTGGAAACACTGACCCATGACAGATGCGAGACACCCTTGGCCCTCCCTGCCACCCAACCCTGGAAGGACAGGGCAGGCGGGTCACTGGGCTCACCCAAGATGCAGAGGGTGTGCCCTACTGCAGGCCCCCGGGAGCACCTCCGCTGCCCAAGCCGGCTCCCCCAGCAAGACCCCCTGGGCCACTCCAGGACCACGCGGCACAGGCTAGGGCCACCAACCAGGTCATGACCAACCAGAGAGGCTGGCCCAGAAACCACTCACAGCTGCATACCTGGCAGTCACAGCCTGCCCCTGGGCATGGTGGGTGCCCTCCCAGGCATCCTCTCCAAGCGCGCACCGGAAATCGAAGCCTTGGCCTGGGCGCCACGTGATTTTTGCAGTAGGTCCCCATCCACGCCCCACACTTCCGTTGAACTGGTCTAATTCGGACGTCAGCATTTATTTTTCGAGCGTGTTTGTGAATATTTTATTGTCCTGCATCTTTTCACTTTTGAATTGTTTGAAATTGTACATTTTATATATATATATGGATTCATATTTTGTAATTTGTTTTTGGTACGTGTCTTCATTTGTATACAACTACTTATATGTTTTCGAATGTAAGATGTATTTCCTTTTTTGTCAGTTTTTCTATCTGTATTAATATTGTCAAAATTAACTTTGAATTCTCCCAGTGTTTTTGACCATTTTATGCCTTTTTCTCATCTTACCCATTCTATCTAGTTTTAAAAAAATAATTTTTAGAAGACTTTTTCATGGGTGTGCAATACAAGCATGATTCTCATACTGGGACCTTGAGGTTTTTATACACCCTTGCCTTGTTTGGCATATACTAGACCATGCCACTTTTTTACATATTCTTTCTATATTTATGGTTGCCTTTCAGCAGGATTTTGCATGGGCTATTTGTGAGATATTCTAAAATTACATACCTTTTTTATTATTACACTTTATGTTCTAGGGTACATGGGCACAACATGCAGGTTTGTTACCTATGTACACGTGTCATGTTGGTGCATGTACTGCACCCATTAACTCACCATTTACGTTAGGTATATCTCCTAATGCTATCCCTCCCCTCTCTCCCCACCCCACAACAGGCCCTGGTGTGTGATGTTCCCCTTCCTGTGTCCAAGTGTTCTCATTGTTCAATTCCCACCTATGAGTGAAAACATGCGGTGTTTGGTTTTCTGTTCTTGTAATAGTTTGCTGAGCATGATGGTTTCCAGCTGCATCCATGTCCCTACAAAGGACATGAACTCATCCTTTTTTACGGCTGCATAGTATTCCATGGTGTGTTGTGCCACATTTTCTTAATCTAGTATGTCACTGATGGACATTTGGGTTGGTTCCAAGTCTTTGCTATTGTGAATCGTGCCACAATAAACATACATGTGCATGTGTCTTTATAGCAGCATGATTTATAATCCTTTGGGTATATGCCCAATAATGGGATGGCTGGGTCAAATGGTATTTCTAGTTCAATACCATTCAGGACGTACGCATGGGCAAGAACTTCATGTCTAAAACACCAAAAGCAATGGCAACAAAAGCCAAAATTGACAAACGGGATCTAATTAAACTAAAGAGCTTCTGCACAGCAAAAGAAATTACCATTAGAGTGAACAGGCAACCTACAGAATGGGAGAAAATTTTTGCAATCTACTCATCTGACAAAGGGCTAATATCCAGAACCTACAAAGAACTCAAACAAATTTACAAGAAAAAAACAACCTCATCAAAAAGTGGGTAAAGGATATGAACAGACACTTCTCAAAAGAAGACATTTATGCAGCCAACAGACACATGAAAAAATGCTCATCATCACTGGCCATCAGAGAAATGCAAATCAAAACCACAATGAGATACCATCTCACACCAGTTAGAATGGCAATCATTAAAAAGTCAGGAAACAACAGGTGCTGGAGAGGATGTGGAGAAATAGGAACACTTTTATACTGTTGCTGGGATTGTAAACTAGTTCAACCATTGTGGAAGACAGTGTGGCGATTCCTCAAGGATCTAAAATTATATACCTTAATAGAAATCAATCCCAGTATCTAGAATGCAGTTATGAGCCCACTCTGTATTGTCATTTCCCTACATCTTCGATGTGTTTTTTGCTTTCACTGTCATTAGACTGACAACGAGGAGTTCACATGTTTTCACACACATGAAATTCATGTGTTCATCAACATAATCAATTCTGGGTTTAGCTGGAATCAAATTTCCTCAGTCTCATATTCCAATTTTGCTGGTAGGATCCTTAACTTTCTTTTTCTTTTTCTTATTTTTTTTCTGAGACAGAGTCTCACTCTGTTGCCAGGCCAGAGTGCAGTGGCACGATCTCGGCTCACTGCAGCCTCCGCCTCCCCAGTTCAAGTGATTCTCCTGCCTCAGCCTCCCGAGTAGCGGGGATTACAGGTGTGTGCCACCATGTCCACCTGATTTTTTTTGTATTTTTAGTAGAGACGGGGTTTCACCATGTTGGCTAGGATGGTCTCAATCTCTTGACCTCATGATCCAGCCGCCTCAGCCTCCCAAAGTGCTGGGATTACAGGCGTTGGATCCTTAACTATCAATATTCTTTCAGAAACTCTAAATCTATTACACTCACAGTCCCATTTATATTACAGAGATGTTGGTCTTGTCTTGTAGAGAGACCTTACTTTCTGTATTCAATTGTTAATGATATCAAAATCAGGTAGTAATATTTTGTGATAGGATAGCATCAAGTGGAGCTGTCACTCCATAAGAACATCTCATGTCAATGTCCAGGTTGACCAGATCAGTATACCTGACCTCCTTGGTAGTGAATATTTCCTAGTTCAGTGGGCTATTTGAAACTGTCATACCACTAATGCATATTTGAACAGATTCTTTATTACCTCCACATAAGAATTATCCGTATATAACAGGGTTAGAAATTGAGAATAATTTTAGTAGTCTGTTTTGCTACATGCTTTATACTTTGAGGCTTAGTTTTCACTCTCGTTTTGTTTTTTTTCCCCCCAATTTATACCAAGTACATAATCAACAGATGGGGCTCGGTGGCCTAAAGCTGTAATGTAGATTTTTATTGACTAGCTCAGTATGTTTCTTTTGAAGATTCATGAATTATATAATACATTATAAACTATGTAAATAAGAAAATGTACTTTAGTGAAATTCGTTTATTTCAGTTTTCATAAATTTCAATCTGCAATGCCAAATTTTGGCTCTCTTACCTATAATATGATCAATCTTTTTACACCATCATTTAATCTCTACATAGACAGTAGTATGTCAATACCTAATTGTTTGCCTGAGTAGGTATAACCTCGTACTTCAGTACCAGCAAGTATACACTGTAGTTGTTGAATAACCAGTGGTACTCATGCAAGTAGTGAAGGTTTCTGAAAATTCTTCACTATATATTTTTTTTGCAATAGGATTTTATTACCAGATGTCCAATTCCAAATGCTTTCCCAATTCCATTTTTGTTTTTCTTTATTTTCATATCTTGTTTAGATTTTGATTCTATCATGTTTGCATCTTTCTGCAAATTGTCCAAGGCACTAAGTTTATCAGTAATTGTATCTATATCAGAAGAGTTTACAATTGTAGTCCTAATTTTTATTCCCCCTAATACTGTCTTTAATAATCTCTGGCCAGGTATGGTGGCTCACAAACCCAGTGCTTCAGAAGGCCGAGGCAGCAGGATAATTTGAGGCCAGAAGTTTGAAACCAGCCTGAGCAGGACCCTGACTCTACAGAAAAAAAAAGAAAGAAAGAAAGAAAAAATAGGCAGGCATGGTGGCATGTCCCTGTAGTCCCAGCTACTCAGGAAGCTGAGACGGGAGAATTCCATAAGCCCAGGAGTTACAGGCAATACAGAGCTGTGATTGTGCTACTGCACTCCAGTGTAGGCAACAAAGCCAGACCCCATCTATTAAAAAAAAAATCTGTTTTAGTTTGATCATAGTGCCATTTTAGTCCTTGTGTAAAAACATTTCATAGTAGTAAAACCTATCATGTACAAGTAGAATTCCATTTACTCACATTAGCTATTGTAATATTAGATGATACAGACCATTTAATTATCCTTGAGTTCGTAAGTATGGGGACTGGAGACTGCCAGGTTCTAGACAGGGTGAGCTCATTTTTAGGGGATGATATGTTTTGGGGGTTTTGAAGAAACTAACCCTCATCATTTGGGCTGGGATATTTCCTCCCCATCTCTGCATCTATTTAAGCTTTATTAAATCGGACCCCCATGGCTATTTAAGATATAGAGTTGGGCCAGGCGTGGTGGCTCACACCTGCAATCCCAACACTTTCGGAGTCCGAGGCGGGTGGATCACCTGAGGTTGGGAGTTCGAGACCATCCTGACTAACATGGAGAAATCCCATCTCTATGAAAAACACAAAATTAGCCAGGCATGGTGGTGCATGCCTGTAATCCCAGCTACTCGGGAGACTGAGGCAGGAGAATCACTTGAACCTGGGAGGTGGAGGTTGCAGTGAGCCGAGATAGCGCCATTGCACTCTAGCCTGGGCAACAAGAGTGTGAAACTCTGCTCAGAAACAAACAAACAAAAAAAGATACAGAGTTGTTGGAGTTTTGTGATAACCTTCAGGGACTTTCAATTTGAATATAATTATGTTCAATTAGTTAAATATTTCTTCTCATCAGTATCTTCAATAACACAAAGGGTGATGATATTTAAGATTTTTTTTAGTAATATTGACTAATCAGTGGGAAGATGTGAAATTTTTCATTTCTTCTAAATTTAAATCATGCAGTTGGTGAGTTTGAAGTATTATGACAAAGAAAGGGGTTTATTGAGTCCTCATCTCATATTCAGGACAATTTTTAATTACCACAAAATTCCTTGAGGTTGAAATACTAATTTTTAAAAGA